ACTATTGATCAAGAGAGGGACAAAGTACAGAATAAAATTATAATAATATGATGGCAGTGGAGTAATTAACTAGTAAAATATGGACATTTCATATGAATTGAATACTAGGCTCCATTGATTGGTATTGTTGTACGTATTGGTATTGATGCAGATAAAAAAGCGTGAATCATGGATAATCCGTTGATTTAGCGATTGATTCGGTCTGTACTGAGGGAAAAAAATCAAAGATCATGTCTCCTTTCTTCTCTACTTTCACTTCATTATTGTTATAGGATTTGAACTGGTTCACCAAAGGAGACAAAGGGAGAAGCACCGATATGGTTGAGGGTTTGAAGAGGAGATGAGATCGGTCGGTCGACGGCTAGATGCAAGCGTATCGGTAAGATATCTAGGGCATATTTACGCAGTTGATTAGCTATTTATGTAGTTCATAAATTCCTTGAATAAGAGATTGAATCGAGATCTCCTCCTATGTTCTTCTAGGGTTTGAACGGGTGCACCCACAAGGAGAGATAGTGTGGAAGAAGCTTACTTCATGTTTTATACGGATAAATCAATAAAATGTATAACTTACAACGATGCAAACATTCGGTTATATTTTAACAGGTTATGTTATTAAAACACAATATAATCTCTTCGCATAAAATAAATATAAGTCTCAAATGAATTAAAAGGATAATTTTTGACGTGTTCTTTAGAACATAACGTAAATCTAGAGAAAAGAACACAAACAATAACTTTTACACTACTAACGTGTTTTCTGAAACAAAACATAAATCTAGAGGAAACCACGCAAATAAGAAACACTAAGACCTAGTAAATGACTTAACTAGTACCTATGCGGTACCAATTAAAATTAGGGACAATTCTACCATTTTCTCCCAACTAAGTGCATTTATCTTTTTAACTTTGGTACGTAAATATCTGTACCAATACTTAAATACTTTTTACGTAGTACCTATCATATCGAGAAGCGTTGGATTTTTATCTTTTTTGAAATGCAAACATTAATTATAAAAGTTCTCGACTTTTATATGTCACATGTATCTGCCTATAGCGGTAGACAGAGTAGCCAAGTGGATAAACATGTGCAAGTAGCTAAATATATCTAGAGAGGTTATTGTGCAAAGTGTGCGTATGTGCGTCGCCGCTTCTTGGCATTAGGCAATGTGTATGCTGAAGAGGCGGTTTTGATGACATGCAAACACTACACAGGACACAGCCATGGATGCATGCAACGTAGGCGATTTCAGTTAGATGTAGATGGATAGACACTAAGAGTCTTAGACCGACAGACACAGATCAGATAGCCATGCTGCATCATGCATGTACAGCATGTGTATGCTAGCCTTTTTGATGCTCCACTGGAGAAAGCGATGGATATATATATCGATCGGTCGATCTCGCTCCCAGCTGGGCATGCCATTTCGATTCAGTTATTGACATCATTAAATTCTCTCTTCAGTCAAACTAATTTGACGTAAGGTGTAAGCTAAACTGAGTTTAGTTTTTCCAATGCCAAATGTTTTTAACTGGAGGGTGTAATTGCAAATCATTGCAAAATAATATTAAATGCAGAGGTTAGAAATATTATCCGTCTCAATTACCAAAAAAACATCTCACTTAGCTTGGATGATGAGTGAAGGCCGACTCCAGAAAATTGAGTTGTTACTTGTGAGCGGATGGTTTCTTTAGTTGTGCAGTTTTGTTGGACTTCTGGATTCGTCGGTTTTATCTTCGTTGTTCTGGATGTTGAATGGATGCTTATGGCATCAGTTCATCTGAATATCTGATCTGTTCATCTTTTTCTCTGAAAAAACAAACGCTCTATCTCCTTTGGAATACGTAGTGGAGACTGGAGAACGAAGACTCTTGGCACTGTTAGAAATAGATTATTGGACGAATTATTGATGTGAATTATCTACTTGGTTATAGGGATATCTAATATTTCAAAAAATATATATATCTAGTAAATAACTTAAAGCAGGTGGTATAAGCAATGTATTAGAAAAAAGTTTTCTTTTGGAGGAATGTATTTTTCGAAGCGTGGAGCAAATAATATGTGAATAATCTGGAAAAATAACTAACTAGACATGAAAAAAAAAAGAACCTATCTATGATAATATGGACAAGGTTTCTCTTCGACCAGTGCAGATGTACTCCAGCATATCAATATAATGCTACCATGACGAAGAAAATGGATCCAACAGGTAGGTAGAGTGCAGTGCAGAACAACAGCAGAGCCCAATTTTGTGTTTAATTAAGTATAAAAATGATGACAACAAAATAAATAGAAGATTAAAAAGAGGACTATAAGAAAGAGGCCTGAAGCCTGGTAAGACGGTAAGGCCCAACCAAGCATTACAGGTTAATGCCTTCTCTTTTTTTTCCTTTTCTTTTTTTTTAACGCCGATTTCTTTTTTTTTCCATTTTTTTTAGCACTACATGGACATAATAAGCCTTTTATGAGGCGGGTGGTGTTTGAATCTCCTGAAAATGAAGATGAAGATTAAATATTTCACGCAAAACAAGGTGGTAATAACGTGTGATTAATTGAGTTTTAATTATTATAAACTTGAAAAATAGATTAATCGTATATTTTAGAACAACTTTCATATAGAAAGTTTTCGCACGAAACACACCGTTTAGTAGTTTGAAAAACATGCCACGAGTATCCAAAAGTTTATCCAGGCTCCCATCGGTTGTCCATTTGGCCAAAATGGCTTATTTGGCTTATTAGAAAATTAAAATTAATTTATAAGTAAAACTTTTGTAGGTTTGTTCGTAGCGACTTAAAAGCCAACATTAACAAAAGATTACGTTAAAAGTATTTCAAAATCAACTTCAAAATCAAGTTCAAAAATTTAAATTTTGGCTTATTCTTTGGCTGTTTAGGCCAAACGATGGGGCTACCAACTTTTCTTGGAGAAAAGAAAAGGGCCAAGTCTATCAGAAATTAACTTGATCCCCGGCCGGATTAAACCTCCAGATGGGCTTAAATTTTTCTCTGCAATTAAATGGGCTAAACAAGCCCAGCGCATTACTTCCAATTGACTTAGTGGGCTACAATCTTTTATAAATTTGGCCCAACATATACCTTCGCGTCATCAAAGCAACACAGAATTTTTTTTTTTAGATAATGAATAAAAATCTGACATGTATTCATAAGTGAATATACACAGCTAGAGGTTACATGAGACCCTAAATCTCGTAATTGAGATAACACAGAAAAAACGAAAAAAAAAAGATTGTCCTGCTGTCTGACGAACCCTGCCGCGCAATACCGCACTAAAGCGATTATCAGAACTAATCTTCAGTGCTGCGTCAGTTAAACAGACTTTAGTTTCAGTTAATGATATTAATATTGTTTTAGATGTTTACCGTGTTTAGACTTTTCACCATCATGATTTGCGACGTGTCTAATAATTTGTGATTGAAAGCTCTGGAGCTAACTCGAGCTAAAGACTAGGATTTAATTCCATTATTTGAAAAGTACAGTGGTCACAGAGATAACAATGTACTGGTAGAAAGGCATACAGGCTACTTCAGAAAATGATTCTATTCAAAGATCTCTCTTTCACTCTCTCTTTCACACAGTCACATACAGATGGTGGGCACTACAGGGACTTTGAATCACAGGGTTGAAAAAAAAATAGAGAAATAGAAAAAACACAGGATTCTGATAGGAATTGAAGTGTAAAATATAGAATTACAAAACACATGAAAACACGGGAATGATCGTTTTATTGGACTGCAGGAAAAAACACAGGAATCGAATAAGAGAGATAGGCTCAAGAAATTTTCCAAGAGGTTGGAGCTCTTGCTAAAATTCCTCCCAAATCCACATACAATGTGTCATTCCATAGGAATTTCATATGATTTGGAAAACTTCAATCCTTTGAATCAAATGGTCAAATAGGAAAATTTTCTATAAGATTTAAATTCTATAAAATTCCTTTATAAATCCTTTGATTCAAAGGCGCCCTACGACAAAAGCTTTTCTGCATCTCCTCAGAAACAGTGCTCCCACCAAGCCTGTCTCTCTACCGACAGAAAGATGGACGCCAAGGACAATCCAAGAACGGGTCCATTGCTAATTGGTGCGAGAGAGAGAGAGAGAGAGAGAGGTAAAGTAACCATCAGTTTCACACGCATTACACACACAACACAAACACATCATTCTGCCAATTACAAGCAGTACCAAAATGCCAGTGACCTTCCAATTTCTCATCCTGCAGCAATCACAACTGAAGAAGACAACGAGTATACATGAAATGGAACAGACAACGAGTATACATGAAATGGAACTTGTGTGACAATAATAATTGTACTAGCGTTGTGCTGGTCCTTTGTGCTGACGTTGCTGACTGGTAGAGTTGTATTTACTCTCTTGCTGGTGAGATCACCATGGAAGGTGGTGGGGATCAGATGAACGAACTCCTGACTCCATAGCACATGGCAGAGGTGATAAATCAGAAAAAATAAAAAAGATACATCAGGGAAAAAAATAAGGTTGATTGATTGCATCCTGACGAGAATAAATGATGTTTTGCAGGACAATTGTACTTCATATTGAAGAATCTCAAATGCATAGTTCAGCATCAGCCGAAAGTTTGTACTGTTGTAGTTAACTGGTGAGTTGTGATTTTACCTTAGCTAGGAAAAATAACAATTGCAAATGGATCGGCAGAAGTGCTTCCAAACGACTGGCAGAAATGGATGGCCTCTCGTTTGTGCCTGAATTTTGGACGACATGGCCGATGTAGCTGATGCTGCCTTTGCAGTATCTGATACGAAAATGAGAGGACAATTGTGGAACATGTGTGCCGAAAAACAAATTGTTAGATGCTCCATGATGAGATGAGCAGAAATGTCCCCCGCAAAAAAAAAAGAAAAAGAAAAGAAAAAAAAAGATGAGCAGAAATGTCACAGCAATAATAGTAGATCCAAGTCATCCAACTGCCTGCCTGTTGGCTACTACTCCAGTAGATCCACCGACAAGTAATAAGAGACTGAAATTTAACGATGATCATGTCAATCATCCATCATAGGGGTGTGTACAAATGTTGGGTGCCTAACGGCAGAGGCCGGAGATGTGAAACATTTTCATTATCTAAAGTAGGAATATATACAAATTGATAATTTTATCAGAACAAATTGTGTATTAACGATTTACAAATGAACAGCACACATCTCAGTATTTTTTGGATCCAAAGAACATTGCTGGAACTCTATATGGACTGGGTACAAATGAACGAATTCTATCTACTCTTTCAGCTTATTCCTGTTGGATCACTCCGGTTTTGTGCCCTGAATCTGGATTGCAGAACAAATTCTCCTTTGCATATCTGTACGGACAAGTAACTTGTCCAAAATGAAGTAAAATTCCATGGCATGTTTGGAACTCTCAGAACTTGATTACCAGTGTGTGTACGAAGAGAGGCATGCTTTCTATGTTTTGACAAAAGCCTGAGAGTGATCAGTCTATCTGTTCTCCAATTAGATCGAGGCCAACAAAAAGGAATGATACCCCCTGAAAGAGAAGGAAATAGAAGTGAATTCCTTGAGCAGACAAGAGGCTCCGAGTTGCGGCGGTGAGGAGGAGAAGAGAGAGAGCAAGCTCCTTCTTGTAGACTTTGTTAGCCTTTTTTGCACCAAGCGGCGCCTTTTCTTGGCGTTCTTTCTGCATTTTGAGCTCAATCAATTCACTTTCAGATATTTGCTTCTGCAGCCGAGGAAGGGTAAGATCCTTTGTATCCCTCTCCGCTGCTGTTGAAAGATCTGATTCTGATGATCGACCAGACTTCTTTGTGACAATCCATTCGTAGGAGCTTCCAAGTTTAAACAGTCCAGACACCATTGCGTTGAATTTTGTCACTGACATGGTGTTCTCGAAAAGGAGGTATGGCACAATGAAAGGAAATGATCTTGGTGATGGCAGAATGTTCAGGAAGGACATGCAAACTGGCACATAACAGATGACCCAAACAGGCAGCTCAGCCTCAGGAACAAACATGGTCAGCGGAAGAATGACACAAAACAATGTGAATGAATAGAACGGAAGAATCAATTTCCTCAAAAGAAAGAATAATAGTATTAAGTTCGCCTTCTTCCATGATGAGATCTGTGGTGAAACATTAGCAGTATTTATCAAAAAAGAACTTTAATTACCGGCACATGTATAAGATTCTAGCTAATGGAATTGCATACCTTGGCAGTAAGTATGTCCGGAAGGCACAGCCGGAAAAGGTGCATTGGACCAGAATGCCACCGGTGTTGCTGTTTCCTATATGCTTCATAGGATTCTGGGAGTTCACACAGGACCTGATTGATAGTACCAAGTAAAAATCAAGTTCTGTGTATATATGAGATTGACCCTTAGTCCAAAATGCAGCAGCTAACACAAACACATAATGTACCTTTACATCATTGAGGAAGATAAATTTCCATCCATTCAGGTGTGCTCGAACAGCAATATCCATATCCTCCACCGTCGTCCTCTCAAGCCAACCCCCGGATTCTTCTAGAGCTTGGATCCTCCAAACTCCAGCAGTTCCATTGAAACCAAAGAAGTTCAAGAAGACTCCATTGACCTGTTGCTCTACTTCAAAGTGGAAGCACAGGTTGATATTCTGAAGACGGGTCAAGAGGTTCTCATCCTTGTTCACAAAGCTCCATCGTGCTTGAACCAATCCAAGCTCAGGATTCCCCTGCGTGAATTTGCAACGGTGACTTAGCATCGAATTGGTGTTCGGTATCAAGACTGCAGTATCTCCAGGAATATGTTACCTCAAAATGTGGTATCGTTTTCTTGAGAAAATCTGGTGTTGGCTGGAAGTCCGCGTCGAAAATGGCGACAAATTCATAATCTTTGACATAGTCACAGCTCATTGCAGACTTGAGGTTCCCAGCTTTATAACCGGTCCTCAGCACCCGATGCCGATACACAATGTTCACACCCTGATGGCTCCACTTGGAAACTTCTGCCTTGATCAGCAGCTGAATGCTCTCGTCGCTGGAATCGTCGAGCACCTGAATCAGAAACTTCTCCCTGGGCCAATCTAGCTGGCAAGCCGCCGAAATCGACTGCTCATAGACCTGTCTCATAGTAAGCACACACAATGAATGAACATAACACACTACAAAACTACAGAGTATACAAAATTCCGATGAGAATTCAGCTAAATTATACCTCCTTTTCATTGCACATAGGAATCTGGACGAGCACCATGGGGTGCTGATACCCTGATCCTTCCCTGAACGGGTCCCCTTCAATCCTCGGCTTGATCTTCCTCAGCTTGATCCAGAAGCAACCCAAGCAAAGGACGAGACGGTCCATGGATTGGATGACGAAGAGGAGGATGCAAGCTTTCGACAAGAACTCGATTGGCCTCCTGATGTAGTCGGCTCGGAATGACATCCACGAGATGTACGCCGAGTGCGCCCACCCCTCGATCTCCACCGCCTCCGGCACATGCAGCTCCGGCCGCCGGAGGCGCCACCCGTTCCAGTAGGCGGCGAGCTCCACGGCGAGGGCGAGCAGGGAGAGCGCCAGGAACCCCCTGATGAACCCGTACATCAGCCGTCCCCGGCCGCGGCCGAGCTCGTCGGCGGCGTCAGCGGGGGAGCGCCGGAAGCGCCTCGCCGCGGCGGCGGCGAAGGAGGCGAGGCGGCCGGCGGCGCGGCGCGCGCGGAGGAGCAGCACCCAGGTGAGCTGCCTGGCGGTCCTGCTCCTGCTCCTGCCACGCCCGCCGCCCTTGTCCATGGCCACCGCGGCGGTGCGCAGCTCCGCCTCCGCGTCGGGCCCGTCGACCTCCACCACCGAGTAGTTGGGACTCTCCATGGTCACCACCACCGGCGTCCCCTTCCGCCCACCCCTCCCCTTCCCCCACAGGTACGCCACACCCACCCCCACCCCCGGCGGCGCCATTGCTCCCAAGAACTCACTCACCGGCGCTACCTCCTCCTCATCCGCCTCGCAGCAGCAAGCATCTCTGCGCCAAGCAAGGCTCGCTCACTCGCGCACCTAGCCTTCCACCGCCGCCGCAAGCCGGGGGAGAGCGGCGATGGTGAAAGCTCCGGGGCATGTGGCGGCTTTAATAAACAACAACAACAACAACAACGGCCACGCCCCCGCTTTCCTCGTCTCCCGGTCTTCTACTCCTCTGCATTGTTCAGAGTTTATTACTACCTCTCTCTCGCGCGCGCGCGGTCTCGTCTCGCACCCCCACAACCCACGTCGTTTTCAAGAGGATGATTTTACCAAGAAGAAGAAGAAGAGGAGGAGATGGAATGGGAAGGGAAGGGAAGCCTTTTTACCCTTCTTCGTCACGTCCTTCTCCTACCTTGGGACCAAGAACAGCGCGAAGGGTGTGTCTAGTCCACGCTAAAGTTGGAAGTTTGATTGAAATTATAATGATGTGATGAAAAAGCTAAAAGTTTATATGTGTAGGAAAGTTTTGATGTGATGCAAAAGTTAAAAGTTTGAAGAAAAAATTGGAAACTAAACCAGGCCTAAAGAGGTTTACCAAGCCATTTGAGACATGTTACCGTCATTCCACGATTTATCGGTTTCGGTGGTAACCGTGAGGTATAGCGTATTTTTAAAAACTGAAAAGGTTACCGCACGTGACAACCGTGGCCACCACCTATTAGAAACTCTAAAAGAAGTAAATACATAAATGTGCGATGTTTTTCACCATAACAAAACTGATAAAAGAACACTCAAACATGAAGTTTTTGGACATATTGGAGTGGACTGGGTGCATTCGTTTCATCAGATAAATTCATTATTCAAATTTGATTTAATTAAAACTCAATTAATCATTAGCTAATGATTTTTAAGTTTTTCGTGCTCTAACCTCTTTTTTCTTATTTTCAGTAGAAGCGAACAACACCTTATTTCCCTTTAATTTTGAGTCACGAATCTGTTGAATAGAGGATCCATATATTAGTCACCCACGTCTAAGAGAAGTAAGTCATAGGATCTCAATATTTTTTTACCACATAGTTAAATGGCCATCTACACTTTCACTATTAACTTTTGTGAAAAACACAGGTTTGCATACTTTCATTAATTAAAGAGTTTGCGCACGGTCAAGTAGAAGCACAGATTAGACAAAAGCTTCAGATATTCAGGTGGTGTTTGAATCCAGGAACTTACTTTAGTCTCTGTACACTAATTTAGAGTATTAAATATAAACTACTTATAAAACTAATTATATAAATGAAAGCTAATTTGCGAGACAAATTTTTAAGCCTAATTAATCCATAATTAAATAATGTTTACTGTAGCATCACATAGGCTAATCATGAATTAATTAGGTTCAATAGATTCGTCTCGTGAATTATTCTAAGATTATGGATGGGTTTATTAATGGTCTACGTTTAATATTTATAATTAGTGTCCAAACATCCGATGTGATAAGTAATTAAAAGTTTTAGTCCCATCAAAAGAGCGTCTCAGTATTCAGGAAAAAATATTCAAATTTTTCGTGCTCTTCAAGAGAACTAGCCCTGCTGCCTGCTGACTTTTGGTAAAGCAAAGGAGGAAGCTTTTCAGAATTTCAGTTGAGGGCAAGCGAAAACTGGCACAGAAAAAGACAGGCAGGAGCGGCATGGCACTATGGCATCCGGTTTTGTTTTTTTTTCACCATAACAAAACTGGTCAAACAAAGATTCAGGGTTGCAGGTCCTGGTTCTTTTGTGTCATGCTGCTTGGTCTGATGCTCTCAGCACTTGAAAAACACCTCCTATGCTCCAGCTGCAGATATTATCTTACAATTATGGATTTAATCTATAAGAATTAGGTTGATCATTCAGTTTGCACCATCCGTTTGGATGTTCTCTCTCACCTTCTCAGATCTCATCATAAATAAAAAATTTTCTATATAGTAAAATAACTAGGTTGACAAAATAACATACTTATATAAATATGTGCAAGTATATGATAAAATAAAATATGTATGAGTATATTGATAAAATAAGTAGCGTATAGAAAAAATACTCAAAATAATTAAGTTGTTGTATCATTTTTAAGTTATTATACCAAAATCACACACACCTTATAAATTGTTGCACCTACATGCTCACTTAAAAGTTAAAAGTTCTTGTAATGTATTATACCTACGTACTAAACTACTGCACTAGCATACTCACTTCTTAAGTTCTTGAAATAAATGATTTACTGTGTATGAAATTTATTATTTTTATCGGATAAAGCATATCAAACATTTGGAACGTAAGAAGAATTTGTCTGCGATTCTTACAAGGTTTTATAAATCGACAGCCCCTCTCTTTTCTTTTTCAAATTTGTGAAGGAGACAAACTCATGTCCGATCGATGGAGTGTAAGTGGAATTGATAACACCTGGGGAAAACCTTGTTACAATATTCTACAATGCATACAAACCTTTTGATGAAGTGGAGAGATCGCTATTTCTTTTGGTCGAGGGGACGTACGTCACGTCAGTGTTGCTTCCACTAACACGATTAGAACACAAATGGGACGTTGTTAGCCAGTACAAGTGGAACACTTGCAGCTGCTTTATTTGCTTTCCTGCACCTATGTATTTTTCAGAACAAAAGTAAGCATCACACATTCTCGCATCAAAAGGTTAATGGTACCCTAGTAGCACTATCATTCAGATCGAGAGAAAAAAAATATACGGGGTGTGAAACTTTACGCAACAGTATATTCTTCTCTATCCGCTATTATGGCTGATTTAGATTATTAATTAAACGGATTAGTTATAGGTTATCTCCTATAAATTAAATATTTTTGAAAAAAAACTTAACAATTACAAGTATCTCAAAATACACGATCTAAATAATATAGAAGAAGATTTTTATTAGAGAAATTATTTTTCGAAGCATGTGGAGTAATAATATGATTTAATGATCGATGAAAATTTGACCGGATATGTGTTGACGTGAAATTTTTCACCTGACGTGTCAGATGTGCGTCGATCGTGCTAACACTGAGGCATGGAAGATCTGCTTAACTCTAGTGCAAGATCCTAGATCTTGATGAGGTGCGGACGTGCTAGTCAGTTTAACCCTGCAACTGACAATACGTCGATGTAGCAGCGATTAGCTGATAGGTTGAACGATCGGCTGTTAGAGACTTGGAGGCCCAGACGTTGATGACAATTGTAGGCTCGAGTCTCAAATGTGCCAAAAGCGTGTGTCAGCCGATGGTTTGATGTAGAATCAGCTAGAGGATCTGATGTTAGTACCTAGCGTTGAACACCTTTGATCTTTGAAGATAGACGATGTTGAGGGCACTCTAGGTTGTAAGGTTGTTGTAGAAATAGATTGGCTAGAAGTCAGATACAAATAGATTCAAATAGTTAGATAAACAATGAAGCTTTTGCTGCAATCGACTAAAATCAACTTGTGTATAATTATCGACAAACATTTATTTATCAAAGAGTTGATGTGGGACTTAGAAATAGTAACAAGATGACTCACTGGCTAACACTCTAATGAAACATAAGCATGAAACCTATCAACTAGTAAAACTTAGATTATCAATACAATCTAGAGATTGGACCTAGCCGAGACAGTATGAGATTGCGTGTGATAATCTAAACAACCGATAGATCTATGCAACGTGATGAATATAATAAATCTATCTTAAAAAATATTGTTGATCAAAATATCGGACCGAACCGAGGGAGTTCTAACTAAGCCGATGTGACTCTAAACAACAATGCAATCAAAAGTAGAGATGATATACCAGATAGGCAATGCTTGCTTCAACTCGAATAGAATATCGGACCTAACCGAGGAAGTCCTAGCCACGCCAATGCAAGTGAAGGTGTGGAAGTTGGATTTAACTGACGTAGTCCATGCTCGAAACTAAGAACTCGTCAAGAGTAAATTAAGATGGCGATGCGCCGAAAATTGTATCTTGAGATTTGTAGTTATATGATGTGTCATACATGGTCAAAATCTTTTATATTTGGGACGTGGTACTCAAATATTGAAATTCTTAAATAGAAAAATTATGGGAAACAATTAATCCAATTCTCGCATAAATCAGAACAGATAATTAACAAGCATCAAAAACCAATAAAATAAGCGTACGTGCATCCATCCATAATCACTCGAGCAAACGAGGCAATTAGTCAATCTCAGTAACGATCACGAAGAACGACTAACGCGTTTAGAGGCTCGATCATTGGGTGAGATTCGGGGTCGTCGTCGTCGCGCGCTCGCTCTACTCGACCCAACAAAAAGATCAAACCACTCCCATCCTACTAGCTACTTCCCGTCCTAGACGATGACGACCATCGAGACGGTCTCATCGATTATTTTTGTGCATGGCTTTGATCTCTTCGTCGATCCTTTGCCATATCATCAGTGCTTCCTCCGGATTTCCACGCAAAGTTTGTACGCAAGCGTCGCTTAGAGCAAGTTTAATAATATAATGTAATTCACTACTGGTTAACATTGTCTATAATCAATCTAATATCTCACTCGTACAACCGTTAAATGTAGAAATATACTATATCATTAATTAATACATAATCCACGTATCTCTCTCACATAGTTTATTAGAACTCGTACGTTAGCTGGCTATAAATTTGTAGCTCGCTTTGTTCACCCTCCCCTATCTCTCTTCACATACATAAGTTATAAGTACAAATCTAACATGTTAACTTGTATAATTCGCTTATGTTATCTTATGGTACTTGCTCTTAATTAGGGAAGGGTAGCCGATGGCTGTGGCGAGCTTGAGGAAATGGACGTTTCACCCAACCGCGGCGCGGAAATCGCTGACCGGGCCGGGCGCGCGGGGGCAAAATGGCTCGTACGTAATCTCGTGCCGCTGCTTTGCGTTGCGCGCGGGCGCGGGGCGGCGGGGCAAAATTAAGCGGCGAATAATGGATTCAACGGATCGGTCGATGCGCGCGTTGGGTGTGTGGAGTGGACGACGCGCGGCGGGGCGTGTCGTGCTTGAGTTGCGCCGAGCTGAAGCGGACGTCTCAACCGAATCGACGTGGGCGCGTGTGTGTCTGTGTCTGTGTATACCGGCCTGCATGCTAGCTCGATCCGGGCAACTGTTTGGTCGGTAGAAACTGTACTAGAAACGAACGGGGGGACTCCCAGTGTATGCACTCGAAAAGGATAAAATTCCAACGCTCTTCGATGGTAAGAATCATGTAAAAAAAGTATTTAAGTACCATATCCGTTTCATATTTGAGTGGTTTTCTCTAGATTTAAGTTTTGTTGCAAAGAATATTGTTATTGACTTAAAAGTTATCATTTTTGTGCTTTTCATTAGATTTATGTTTCTCCTTCCTTCTGTTCTTCTGCATACGTGTGAATGGGATCTCCTGTTCAAAACCTCGACCATGTAGGCACTTCTCTCCTCAACTATATGTCTCCTTTTAGGTGCACCTTCTCAAACCCTAGGAAAAGAACATATGAGAAGAAATTAGGTCCAAATTCAAGCGCCCCAGATCTATAGTACTATGAGGGATTTATGATCTGAAGTACGTAAATAACAAATCAACTACATAAGAAAAAGATATTAGAGCAGGTACAATAGTGGATTATAAGCCAGCTATAAACACATATCGAGAAGATAAAATAGTAAAGAGGGGAACAGCGTGCTACAGATCTATAGCCAACTGCAGCACAGACTTCAAGACACAATGTTTATATGACAGATATGACCATGCATTAATAATATAGTATATGTTTATAGATAATTATTGTATGATTTGACTATTAAATTGACTACACATGATTTGGAGCCAATAGTTAACTATACCATTAAACTTGCTCTTATCCTAAGCGTTTGCCTAGTTTTGATTTAGACCTTGTCTTTTGTCTCTGTGGAGACTGCAGCCTGGTAGTTGCTATCGTCTCCGTTCTCCCACCTGGTGAACCCTACAAAAATGAATTGAGGCAAGACAAAGAAGAAAAAGAGATCATTACATTCCTTTTTTCCTTCCTTCCGATTATAGATATCAAATGTACCGATTAAATATTCACATCAAACAAAAATACCACTATTTTATTAGTTAATTACCCCACTGCTATCGATTACAATAATTTTATTTAATTTGTGTATTGTCTCTCTCTTAATTAATGGTTTCATATTACATCACCTCTCAATATTTTGTATCTTGTGAACATCGTAAAAGTTCTTAATAACTTCACGTTCATTCTAAAGTGAGCTATATCATACTACATGATACTTGAAAAGTGTATAACTTGGCACGGCACTGTTGTACAGTTCTATACCCAAGGTAACACTGTGCATGGACTGGAAGACAAATTGCCTCTGTTTCTTTACGTGAAACAGCCGGAGCTGACTCAGCCGAGAGCGAGTGACAGGGCAGCTGGGACGCATGTGGCGAAATCACAATCCCTCTCGCTGCTGCAGTTATGTTCAGATTTGCTATAATTAATCACTAGTACTTAGTTTAATTAACACGGCCATTGCAAATATTAATTGGGTGGTCCATGAGCACGCGTGACGCAATCGGATTATCGGAGAGGGTATGGGGCACAGTCGCACAGAGAACTTTTTGGCCGCCATCGACCGCCGAGCGCGCCGACGACAATGCTATCTCCTGTGTCCTGTTTTCTCCCTGCGTGCGAGTGCTCGTCTCGGCTAGTCGGCGACACGTCCCGTTGATACTGTATGATTTTGTCCCGTTGCCAGGTGGCCGTGCCGTGACAAAAAAAATACAGTACTACTAGTAATTAGTTCTCGTAATTACACTCAAGTCTGCTGGGAGAGTTTAACATTTCGAGAAGCAGCTGATTAGTAGTCAGTTTTTAAGAATTTAAAAAAAATGGGTTTTCCTGCTTCCGGCTTATAGTTCATTTACTAAACCCTATAACGGCAGCTTCTCAGTATCTAGATCAAAAACTTTTGGAGGAATTTATAATTTTGAGAAAAGCTGCAGCATTAAAATCTCCTTAAAACAGGCCCTTAGTTTGGCATGCATCTGTGCATGATGATTTATTTGCGAGTTGAGACCGAATAGTTAATTTGATTGCTCGATGGATCATCAATCCATTGATAGACGTCATGCGTGTCTCTGGTTCACTTCTCCCATGACGCCATGTAACGTGTTCTTCACACAGATCCCTGCATTCCCATGGTCTCAAAGGCGCTTTAATTTGGACCTATTTTGTAAGTGATAAAAAAACAGAGATGTTACTGAAAATATGTTTATGGAGTGGCTGGTTGATCCGAGGCAAACTTTAAGGATGAACTTTTGCTGCTCATGTTGAGTGAAATATTGTACTACTATACTAGTATGGCACTTTCCCTTAAAAAAGAGAGTGCAAAAGTAATTAAAGAACGGCTCGATCGTGTGCGCCACTGCACAACACCAGTGTGCTCGAGAAGGCTTCTGCCGCATCCTCTCCACGTGCACTGATCTTTCCAAGCGTCGTTGCTCCAAGATTTGCTGGTGTTCATCACGAACAAGACACTGTTCATGCCGTGATGCAACTTCGGTGCTAGTAGCTTTCATCACTATTACCTGCAGAAGCGTTCACTTGCATTAGCAGATGGGGGCCAGATATATCGATGCAATCCAACCATTTGCAAATTGCAACGACCTCTTCGCATCCTCCCTCCGTGCTCACGTCTTTATCAGAAACATGACACCAGCAAGGCAGGATGTGGGCTTTACATGTGTCCTAACTTAAATCATTTTTAACTTTTGCAAGTAAAATAGTTGAATATATATGCTGCCTGTAAGTTAGCACGTATCAATCTCCTCTTAGAAAAAATATACACCGCCGACTCTTCTTATGTAGTTGGTAGATGAGCTAAGCTAGCACAAGAAAAGCTCGTAGTTAAATTCCTGGTTTGGCATCTGATTCGACACATCACGGACGGACGGATTCGATTCTCTTGACGCAGCTTTGCTGTTGTTTATTTCGTCCTTTTTCATGCATCCAACGGAGAGATAACACATTAACGCCCTTAATTATTCAGGCTTTGGTACGTATCGTTTGCACTGTTCCCTTTCCTTAATCAGCTCTGGTTTCCTCTCTAATTCTCTTCCTTATCCTTGTAATCTGTCGCTGTTAGTGGCATCGGCAGATGGAACGTAGCAATCAATCATCGAGCGTATACAGCCGAATCTGTCGAAATGGGGATGAATGGATGGATTGCTCATGATGTGGCTTGGGCCGTACTGAGGACGCGCGAGATGGGCAGTTTCCCCCAGCCCAAATTATTGCTTGGGCCATGGCCCAGTGAACCTGTGCTCCTGCAGCCCAGATTGGAAAAAGTCCACTTAGGTCAAGTTGATTCGTGCCCCTCAACCGTATAAAACAAGTGCAAATCGAGCCCTTGGATATAGAGATAGACCCAGGGGTGCTAATGGGTGGGTGACCGCTCCAGGCGATCACCCCCCCCCCCTCCTCCTATACTCCACTCTCTCCTTTCCTCCTCCCCTCTTCTCTTCCTACTACACCATAAATTTAAAAAAATAAAAAATAAAGTTAGAAAAATTTATGTATAGAAAATACTATATATAAAAAATATTTGAATTCAAATTTTAATTTGAAACGGGTATGTAAACTTTTGACTAATAAACTTTGGGTCTATAAAGTAATATTTGAATTCAAATTCAAATTTGAATCGGGTATGCAAACTTTTGACTTATAAACTTTAGGTCTGTAAACTTTAGGTGTATAAACTTTAGATGTATAGAAATACTATATATAAAAAATATTTTAATTCGAATTCAAATTTGAATCGGGTATATAAACTTTTGACTTGTAAACTTTGGGTCTCTAAACTTTAGGTGTATAAACTTTAGATGTGTAAATTCGAGGTGTACAAACTTTAGGTGCATAAATTTACTAAAATAAGAAAGTAATGTGGTGTTAAAAAAAACCCACGTGGAGGGGGGATCGGCCCTGATCATCCCGGACGATCGCTCGCCCATTAGCAAAACCGTCTCCAACCCGTCTATCCTGGCCGACCAACCGGGCGGGTGGGTTTGGATCCTAAACCACGTCAAAAGTCAAAACACACAAGGTGGAGTATACATGGACAACTAGGCCTGCAATGCACATGCACGGCACGGGTCCAATGATCGCCCATGTCCAGAGACGGCCGTCAAATACTACTAGCAGAACAGCAAAAAGGCTGCTGTACGTGCCCGTCGGTGTCTCGCACTCTCGCGGTCTCGCGCCGCTGCAGCGCGCCGCAACTTCCAATCCCATTGGCTTTAGAGCAAGGATAATAAGAGCAAGTATAATAGTGGGCTATAAGAAAACTAAATGGTGAGTGGATAGGAGAAGAGATGAGAGAGATGAAAAGCGGGCTGTAAGTTTACAGCCTGCTTAGGCACAGGAACCAAGAAAATTGTGAGACAGACATGTGGACCATATATTTATAGTGAAGAGTTAACCACTATATAAGTGAGCTGATAGATAGGCTATAAGTAAGCAGCTGGCTGTATTATTATCCTTGCTCTAATATAGCTCACTTCCTACTACTCCCTTCATCTATTTTTGATAGTCATATTTCCAAATCTGAAAATTTTATTTTTGATAGGCATATTTCAATCCAACAACCTATCATCTTAATGATTTTCTCGAATTTAATGCATGGCTCTCTATTCTTCCACACATGATTGGCTATATGGGCTTTGAGAAATGTAAATATTAATGAATCGTTTGTTTACGAGGAATGACCAGTAGCATGCTTAAATGAATGATAAGTAGAACTACTTATCCTTGGTCTGTGTGTCAAGATGAAATATGACTATCAAAAGTAGATGGAGGGAGTATTAGCCTATACTAAAGTCAACACATGTAATAGATTAGCTATAAAGTTAGCTATGATTTTCTTCTTCTATCTCTATCTCTCACTTATATATTTAATGTATTTGTCTTTAAGCTTGTGTTAAGCTAGCTCTTGCATGAGAGCCAACATCCTTCTTTTTCTTTTTTGTTTACCCCTCTCCTCCACGTAAGATTATAGTAAGCTTATAGCTCACTATTATACTTGCTCTTATACTTCAGCTCGCAGTCGCCGGCTGTATTAATATTGTGCCTGATTTTGCGAGAGTTATGAGAGCGTACAAACCGCGCGCGCTGCGCCCTATAAACATCCTTCCACTTCTTCACGTACGTACGAATCATTTTTCGTTTCGTCAGCAATGGCACGCTTGCCTTCTCATCGTCTCGCGGCTCTCCTCCTCCTCCTCCTCGTCGTGGTCTCGCCGTGTCACGCGGCGGCGGCGGCGGCGGCGGACGGTGGGCAGAGGCCGACTAGGCCGAAAGCCGTGGCGATGCCGGTGGTCAGGGACGGCGCGACGAGGCAGTACGTGGCGACGTTCCAGCAGCGAACGCCGCGGGTGGCGGTGAAGGCCGTGGTGGACCTCTCGGGCGGCGCCACGCTCTGGGTGGACTGCGACGCCGCCGCCGGGTACGCGTCGTCCTCGTACGCCGGCGTGCCATGCGGGTCCAAGCCCTGCCGCCTCGTGGAGAGCCCCTCCTGCAGCTACATCGCCAGCTGCCTGGGCTCGCCGCCGTCTCCGGCGTGCCTCAACCGCACCTGCACCGGGCACGCCGAGAACACGGTCACGAGCTCCGTCGGCAGAGGCAACGTCGTCACCGACGTGCTGTCGCTGCCCACCACCTTCCCCTCGGCCCCGGTCCGGCAAGGGCCGCTCGCCACCGCGCCGGCGTTCCTGTTCACCTGCGGGCCCACGTCCCTGACCCAAGGCCTCGCCGCCGGCGCCGCTGGCATGGCGTCCCTCAGCCGCGCCCGCCTCGCGCTCCCCGCGCAGCTGGCTGGCACCTTCCGCTTCTCCCGCAAGTTCGCGCTCTGCCTCCCTTCGGTCGACGCCGGCGTCGTCGTCTTCGGCGACGCGCGCTACGTGTTCGACGGCATGGACCACTCCAACTCGCTGCTCTACACGCCGCTCATCACCAGGACGACGGACAGGTCGAGCGAATACTTCATCAGCCTGAAGCGCGTCGTGGTGGACGACCGCGCCGTGCCGCTGAACGCGACGCTGCTCGACGTCGGCACCAAGCTGAGCACGGTCTCGCCCTACACCGTGCTGGAGACCTCCATCCACGAGGCGGTCACGCGCGCGTTCGCGGCGTCGATGGCCACGGCGGGGATCCCGCGCGTCCCGGCCGTGGCGCCGTTCGAGCTGTGCTACGACGGGAGCAAGGTGGAGAGCAGCGCCATCACAGGGGAGCCGGCCGTGCCGGTGGTGTTCGAGCTGCACGTGCAGAGCGAGGTGAGGTCGAAGGTGGCGCCGTGGATGGTGTCGGGGGCGAACCTGATGGCGCGCGCCGACGGCGGGGCGCTCTGCCTCGCCGTGGTGGACGGCGGAGCGGCGCCGGAGGCGCCGGTGGTGATCGGCGGCCACATGATGGAGGAGATCCTGCTGGTGTTCGACCTGGAGAAGTCGCGGTTGGGCTTCAGCCCAAACCTTGGGGCCTTCGGCTTGTCCTGCAGCAAGTTTCGCCTCGGGTAGCACGTATTGGCATCGTAGGCTCGTAGCTAATCTTTCTCGGGCCTCAAACTCCCAAAATCTATACCTGCATTTTGCCGTCGCATGTTGGAATAAATTGCTCCCTCCTGCCGTCCTGCGTATCTACAACCCGGTTATACCCCACGATGGAGGTGTACACTAGTAAGGATACACTATTACACGTTTAACCATTCATCTTATTAAAAAAATATATAACTATAATTTATTTTATTGTGAGTTATTTTATCATTTAAATTACTTTAAACATGATTTATATCTTATACATTTGTATAAAATTTTTGAATAAGATGAATTGTCAAATATGTGTTCAAAAGTCAACGATATCATCTATTAAAAAATGCAGGGAGTATATATTAGGGAAAGTCCATTTTACACCCTCGAACTCTTATGCTTGTCTAAAATACACCTCCGAACTACAAAACCGGATATGATACATCCTTGAACTGTTAATACCGGACACTTAACCCCCCCGGGCTGTTTTTACCGTGGTTTTTGCCACGTCAACCCTAGCCACGTCAGCGCAAAACATAAAATGGGCCAAGCCCATGTTCACTTCCCCTCTCTCTCTCTCTCCCTCCCTGCCCTCTTCGTTCTCCTCTCTCTCATGACCATTAGCGGCGGCGGCGGTGGCGCGGAGCTGTGACGGCGGCGGCGGCACGGAGCTGTGAAATCGACGGCTACGGCGGCGGTGTAGAGCAGCGAGCGCGGCGGCGACTGCGTAAGATCTAGGTCGGCGGCTGCGGCGTCGGCGTGGAGCCGCGAGGGCGGTGGCAGCGGGGAGATGGTGCTAGGGCGGCAGCACTGCCCCAGTTGCGTGGACGGTCGCCGGCGGAAGCCTCTGCGCGCAGTCGCCGGAGGTAGGTCCGGGCGTCGTCACTGCACGCGCCTTTGGATATGGCTCAGCAGGGAAGAACCAGCTCGACACGTGGTGGAAGCAACGACGAGCTAGTGGACTGTTGTGCCGACGGAACAAGTAGATGGAGGGGCATGAGCAGCTCTGGAAATGGCAGCAAATCCAGTCAAGGCAGAAGCAATCTGTCAGGGTTATGGATACCACATACCTAATATTAGTTGACTAAATCTCCGCAGGACCCACCACATACCATGTCTTATACGGAAACAACTTTCGGATATAGGAGGAGTTCCGCATAAGGAAGGATAAATAAAGTTCTACATAAAAACGAAAATGACTACTCGGATTGTATCCATATTGGTTTCCCTAGTTCTACTTGTACAGGGGGACATCTATGGGTATAAATACAAGGCCTCCTGGGAGGAGAGGGGACACGGAACAACAGATCAAGGCACAAGATCAACATACAAGCCAACATGCGCCAAGACAAGATGCCAGATATCGACTTCAGAGATAAGTAGGGCTAGTCCCCTACGGTGTCTACAGATATTGTCAGGAGAGACATAGCGTTGTCTTTTATCTTGCCGGATGTGGATTCGAGGAGAAAGGCTACCCTGTTGTCGACTATGAGTCAGCACTTCAGACCGCCAAGTCGACAACAGTTAGATAGGCTACCCTAAATATTGTACTGGTGTGATTATGGTGAATAAGAGCAACGACCGGCTTCGGCCAACAGGAGTAGGGTTATTACCTGACAATTCAGGGGCCCGAACCTGTATAAAAATCCTCGTCCCCATCTCTTTTATTACAATCTCGCATATATCCTAGTACCAACGATCCCTATACTATGCAAATACCGGAATCGCGACATCAAACATCGACACAATCCACCTCCAATTCGATACAGGGAGGGTCCATTTGATTATTATCCAGCTGTTCTTTGTGATTGTCGAAGGAAGGCAGCAAAACGGTTCGAGGGTGAATTATATCCGGTTTTATAGTTCGGGGGTGTATTTTAGATAAGCATAAGAGTTTGAGGGTGTAAAATGGACTTTGCCCTAAAAAAATAATTTGTGAATAAAATTTTTATATACGCGTTCTTAACGATCTAAAAGCAAATGCTGAAGAATAAACTTCAATAAAAAAAACTTAAAATCAACTTTAAATTGAAGGTTGAAAATTAAAATTTTGGCTGATAAGTACTTCCTCCGTTTCACGATGTAAGTCATTCTTACATTTTCCATATGTCTATCTAGATTTATTAACATAAATATAAATGTGAAAAATATTAGAATGACTTACATTATGAAACGGAGGGTGTATAAGTATAAGCGATAAGACGTGGCTGAACGAAGCTGAGGTGGGTCCAATTCTTCAAAAAGTTTTTTTTTTCAGGGCCTGTTCTTCAAATAAGTTTTCAAGAGGGGTCAAAATGTCAAAATTTCAGCTTCCTCGACGGCTCGACGCCATGGCGCGCCGCCGCGGCCCGCGGCCCAAGCCGCCATTATCCGCTCGACGAACGTCGCCGCGTCGCGCTCTTCCCGGGGGCTCTCTCTTTTGCCGGTCTCTGTAGGGCTCCACTAATGGCGAAAACGCGGCGCGGCACGTCAGTCGCCAAGGGTTCGGGAGATAAGAGGCCATCCACTTATCCACCCTAGCCTCCTCTGTAGGGAAGACCCCCGCCGAACGCTGCGCCGGTCGTCGCCGGAGTCCGGGCTCAGCAGATCGACCCCCCGTAGAGGTTTGCCTCTAGTTCCCAGACTTCAATTTGTGAATTTACTCGCCTAATTTTGCTTATTTTTTGCTCCATCCAGTCATTAAGGAAAGGGTTTGAGTGCTCAGATGGGGTGAGAAGAAGCTATCCAAGGCGGCGCAGACGTTGTATCGGTTCCGTACTATCTCTCTCTTTTAGCAATTGGTGGTATTTCTTTTGGTAATACTATTGCGGGACTTCGGGATACTATTGCTGTGGTATCGCAACGTTTGGACCAGGTGGCACAGGAGTTTTTCACCCAGGAGCATGGGTGGCGATCTAGTCTACAGATTGATAGTCACTAGTTTCTGTGTTTTGTGATGAGGAAGTCTTCTTAGGTCCAGTTTTTTGGCTGTGTGCATTCTATGCAAAGGCCGGGGGTAGACTCAGTTGGAATGTATCATCTTGGTGTATTTAACCGAGTCTTAATAAAGCTTCCATTATTTAAAAGTTTCTTTTGGTAATTGTACACTCACAAGTCACAAACCGCAATGCCGACTCGGAAACCACCATTAGGGAAGTTCAGTGGGAGTTTATTTGCAGAGTTTTCAGAAGATCATGCTATAGGATGGCCGCACTGCCATACTTTAATGGATTGATTGAACTGATTCCGTTAGTAATTTTCATCCGAGATTGAAGAAAACCCAACCGTGCGATGAATCATCAACCCAATTTATTCTTGACTATGATGCCATAAGGGTAAAATGGCAAGGCAATTTCTTCCTTTGAACAGCCTTTGGTTCATCCCGAGGATGCCGCGCCGTTCAAGGATCATATCCATGATCCTCTTTTTGGTCAAGTCAGGACATAACAGGAAAATTTCTCCCAATTGCTTGGCTAGTCTGCACGCCACCACCCATACTCATTGTTCAACACTTCAACACATGAATCATATCAACATTCAGCCACTAAGTATTGGTTACTCTTCATTCTATGTTGTCAACTTGTCATGAACATATATCACCACTGCCTTGCCACCTACTGCAGATTTCTTGGCTAACACATTTCTTGCCACCTACTGCAGACATCAGCACTAACAACAAAAAATTCTTGGCTTTATCTTTGAACTTTGCTACAATTTGCGTATTGTTTAGGGAGCTCAATACAGCAAATAATTGACATAGCATATACTGTATCAATTTCTGGTCTAAGGCGTGGGAGGGGGCACACATATTCAATGGTGCTAAAACTGAGCCAAACTTGAGACTGTCTGCTAGTGAGCCAGGAGCACCCCCCCTATAAAATCCCATGCTTATTTGTCAATTCATGAAATGTTTCCCTTTGGCTCTTGGTTTCTTCTATCATCTGTCATTTTTCATCGTTCGTTTTCTCCATGTGAAGAGATTTGCTCTGAGTCACTGTGGTGAGGTTTTATTTTTTTGTTTCTGTAGAAATACATTATTAAGGCGACCAAGAGAGAAGAAGTCGAGACAACTCCGGTAAGGATGATTGGTCCTTCAAAACTGGCAAAGGTGAGACTCCCTGAACCAATGATGGAGCCTTCATTCTGGCAACTGTTCTTATCTCGCACCCATTTCTGTTCAATTTGAATTATAGTGTCTCCCCCTGTTATATTGAGGATTGCCTGTGAGATGTCTCCAACTAGAGGGGATCCCTTTGGAAATGCCTGTGGAAGTGATTTTGTATTAGCATATGTGCTGCATTTTAGAACGTTCTGCATCCTTAAGCAATCTAAAAGAAAACTGATCTTGAAATTTGATTGTCCAAACTAAAAATAAGTAGAGTTTAACTTACATATCCAAAACCAGCAGTTTTATAAATTGGTCCAATCATTGTGTACCTCTTGCAGTTCTTTGCGAGAAATAATTTGATATATGGAATTTCACCCACCAGAGCAGCAATCCCACCATTTTTGCTTCCTCTGGAGAGTGCGTTGTGAATATCCTCAGGGTTATGATAAGGCTTGATCATCGATCTGGGAAAGCCAAGTTCTTCCAGAAGACCCATGACAAAAGAGCCACTCCCACACCCTATGTATTCACCATTTTTTAGGAGTTCATGAACATCATGTGCAGTTGGTTGGAGCTGTTGCACAGTTAACATTGAAGTCAAGCTTGCAGTGTAACTTGACTTAAGTACTAGAATGAAAAACAGCCATACGACCAACACTATCCGTGATATTAGGCGTTTCACCTTCTCCTCTGCAATAGAATAGGACAAAGAGTTCAGTTATTTTTTAGACATCTTAAATCAAACTCCAGTAGATCAAACTTAAGATATGCTACATTTCAATCACATTTTCTCTATATACACATAATGTTGATATGCCTTCTTTCATGTTTTAAATATAATGCTAGGTTGATTAAAGCTTACTACAGACAAATTTGCCATGTATCTGGAGCATCAGTAGTCATGTATTATAAATTTAGTTTGTTTTGTAGAAACCATATAAATTGGGTACACCCTATTGAACTTTGTATGATAATGTCTTTCCAGGCAAAGGGACACTAATCTTGTACTTAGTGTTTCTATCCAAAGTGAAATAGAAAACAAATATACTGCAATGAGGGCACTCAACTATCTTCAAACATAGAAAAGTAGATTGATGTCATCGACTGTCTGGAAATAGTAGCATCCACATTCTTGTTGTTTCCTAGAAGTTCCAACAGCCATATGACAACTCCTGTATAGATAACGACCATGATTGTTCCAAACCACATGCCAGGCGTTAATGGCTTCAAGAAAATCCAAGCATTCTTGTTTATACTTTCCCTGACAGGAACAACCATTGCTACCCCTGACTCTGTGTATGGCAGAGTGAAGTCGACATATAAACTTCTGTTGTACCTAATTGCTATGTCTCCAACTGCTATATCGTATTTCTGTCAGGGTATCAAAGAGAGTTGTTAACAAACTGCGAGCTGCTTTTTACAAACAAAGAGTCATGATTAAGAAAACTAAGATGCCAAATTAATGTGACTTCTCTAATATATACCAATTGTTTATACCCTCTTTCATCCGTCACTTGTTAAAATGGAATGCTGAAAGTGCTTTGGCAAATGCATTAAAATATTGGCAAACCGTATCCCAAAGGCCAATGATTTGGCATGACATTTGTTTATCATGATTACATATAATATGTACTTAGGATATTTTTTTCTTAAAAGTATCGCGGTGGACAATACTTTTAAATATTTGAAACGATATAACTGCTGCATACATCCTTGAAATTAAAACTATTTAGAAATAAGATAGTTCTTTAAAATTTGAGATATGGTAATATACATAATGCAAATAGATTATATGAATTTCAACTTTAACGTATATTTGATTTCTATTTGTATTCCACACTGAATTATTTTGATGAAGTCCATACTTTATTTGTACTAGCTAAATGCCTGTGCTTTTCTACAAATGAAAGAAAAATGCCATAGAATTGCCTAAAATAAATTAAATATATTTGTATGAAATATGGTATTCACTTGTGTGCATCAGGAGTGTTCACCTTGATTATACACACATCAATTCAACTATATTCGGACTAATGTACTATAGGAGGGAGCATTTCCATAAAAAAAGAACTCCAGTGAGGAAAGGTTAGGTGACAGATTCAATACCACCACTACCAGAGTCTTTTAAAAGGATCCTGTGAGTGTCATATTGCTTTTATTTTATAAACCCTGTGACTGTAATTTTGTCAGCGCAATAGTTAACACGCATATAATTAGCGACTTAGTGTGTTCCTAATTTTCTATCTGTTGCTAAGGAAATATGCTGCAATGGATGCCTTTATTGCCTTGTATCGTTCAAGGGTGATCTATTATCTCACTAGGGGTAATCGGTTGCCATGATGAACATGAGCCATTAGATCAAACAGAATGTGTGGGTGAAAAGAAAGTGGAACTACCTTTAAATTTACATATATTATTTCGAAAGAAGTAAAATGTTGAATACTAAGGAGGAAAATTTCCCCTATATTTTAACATGGTGGCCAAACAAGTTATTTCTTACCTTGAGATAAACTTGGTAGACAAACTCATCATAGCTTGAACTGGCAATCCCTGTGATGTTAAACAATTTGTATTCATAAGCGAGGGCATAAGGAAGTCTTTTGACAGCCTCTTCAAATACGTCAATTGCAAGACCCCTAGCTGTAGTAACACCTGTGATGGGATCTTCATCAGCATCTATATATTCTGGATAGTGGCCTTTGACTACACCAACTTGAAGTTTCTTTCCTCGTACTGCGAGTTCCCAGCCCCTTGGTAGCTCTGTTACCTCTCCCGGCCAAATAACGATGTTCAAATCAGGTTTAGTACTCTCATAAGTTGGATGTGATCTCTTCTGCTCTAATGCCTTTGAAATTCCATTTCGAGCAGTCCAGAACCCAATTTCTCGATATCCTTTCCCGGCTACATTTATTATTCGAAATGTGGAAACTTGTAGCTGCCCATCTGAAAGGTCAAAATAGCCACTTAAACCTCTAAATTTATTTTGCAACATTGCCTTCCGAAGTGCTGGACCATTAATTGAAGTTTGTAATGTTTCCAAATTTGTCAAGTTTTTCTCGCTGGACGGTCTCTGAAACATTGCTTTTCTAACCTTGGACATCTCCGCTGCTTGTGCTATCGCCCAGATAGAATCATAAGCCCATAGTCCAAAGATGTTCAGTTTCATTGTTGGATCGTTTGGGTGATCAATTCGGGACCTCATATACCATCTCTTGGTGAAGCTATCTAGCTCTGTTGAAATTGGTACATAAACCTTAACCCCCAAGGCACCATTCATTGCTTCCACAACTGAAGGATTAAGTGAGTCTATTAGGTTGGTTAGTCCATCTGTTATGATCCATACAGTCCCTTCGCTCATCATCCCAATCTCTTTTGCCTTTGTAAAGAGGACTGATCCCAATGAAGGGGACATATGAACAACATATACCCTTGTCTGCATTGTCATCAGCTTGTAGAGTTCTTGTGTGATTTCTTCACTTGTTGATGATTGATCTATCTCACTCTGATATGGAACATGAACATCTATCTGTTGGAGGGCATCAACAAGGGAAGGTATAATACCCCTACCGTAATCGTTATCTACATAGATAGGCACCACCTCTCTCCATCCATAGGCCTTAATCATGGAGACAATGCTATTCACTTGTGCTGAATCATTCAGCGTTGCGCGCACAAAATAAGGAAGAGTGCGCGAGGACAATGTGGGGCTTGTTGCTGTGAATGAGATAATTGGAATTTGACATTTATTTCCAAGAGCTGATACAAATGTAGCTTGAGAAGATTTCTGTGGACCAACAATAGTTTGGACTTTGTGATTCTCCAGCAAATCAAGAACTGCCGAATGGCATATAAACAAAAAAGTTCATAAGAGCAAATATTTTATATTCAAACAGTTCTTAAACCAGAACTACCATTATGAATAAAGCAAGACAAACAATGATATATTCACCATCTCATCTAAAGTTCTATTCCTTGTACTCTCATTTAATTAAAGTTTTATTGCTCGCCTACGGTACCATCTTTCTCCTAGATCCCTTCCCTTCAGCTTTTCCATCCTGGTCATCCTCAAAAAATATTGTTGCACCGAAGAACTAAGATTCACAAATCATGTAAAACTGTTATCATGTTACGTGCAATTTTACCTCTCGTTTTTTATTGCCTGTGACAATGGGACTGGGAATTGTTGGTTGATGGTTTAAGAGAAGAATGACCGAGAGGCTGGGATTCTCTCGTTTTAAGATAAAAACATGATAATATAAAAATGATGTGTGCTTCTATCCATGTCTCAGCCAGTGATAAATTTTGCAGTTTGTGCTAATCTTGCATAAGCAATCAAATGATTCATACCTGCAGATGCAGCTTGGACATCATCACCCATGGAATCCCTGACGTGGAGGACGAGCCGTGTGGTGTAGCTTGGATGGACGGCATTGAAATCTTCCACGGCCAACGACATGCTTGTGCGTGCGACCTTGGCCACCGTCGTCCCCAGGTCAAGTACCACCCCAACATGGAATTCCTCTGCCTTTCTTTCTGTAACACTTCCAGCAAATGCAAAGCTGAATGCTAACAAGAGTAGGAGCGGTGCAGTTCTAGCACATGCTGCCATTTTTCTTCAGGTAGTATGAGGTCGTCTGCAGAAGAATCTCTTTGCCCTGTTGGCTATGGCGTTTATTTATAGATCCTTTTGAGCCATCTGTCAGGTTGCTTGCGGTCCTTATAAAAAATTTATTGATTTGTGAATAAAGGCCTGGATTAGTTCCCAACTTTTTCTTCAAACTTCCAGCATTTCCATCACATCAAAACTTTCCTACACACACAAATTTTCAACTTTTCCGTCACATCGTTCCAATTTCAATCAAACTTCCAATTTTGGCGTGAACTAAACACACCCAAAGTGTAGTACTGATTTTCCCTGCGTTGTGTTTTTTTTCCTCTCTTTGTGGCAGAACAATGCGGTCAAACTTTGAAAACATTGCCCACGGTTACATGTTGTGGACTAGTGGTTAGATTTGTCATGTGAAATGCCTACTACAGTACTACTCTCAAAAGTCTAGAGCAAATATTCAAAACACCAATTAGAAATTTAGAATCAATTTTTGGTGTGACGGTATCAAGTTGAAACCTGGTTGGTATAGCAAGGTTAATTATAAGGGCCCCTTTGAATCGCAGGATTGAGAAAACATATGAATATGAAAAACATAGGATTTTGATAGCAGTGTAAGTGTAAAACAGAAAATTGTAAAACACAGGAATGACCGTTTGATTAAACCGCGGGGAAAACACAGGAATTGGATGAAAGAGAGACTCAAAGAAAAGTTACCAAGAGGTTGAAGCTCTTGCTAAATTTCCTCCAAAATCTCTATAGGGTTGTCCATTCCATAGGAATTTCAAAGGATTGGATAGGATTCAATCCTTTGTTTCAAAGGGCATCATAGAAAATTTTCCTATAGGATTGAAATCCTCCAAAATTTCTATGTTTTTCCTTCAATTCAAAGGGGCCTAACGAGTTTATTTATCCCTAGGCTCTATCTAGTGAACTTGTTAACCTTAAGATGGAGCACTAGTGAATCAGAGTATGCTGTTCTGAAGTAATACTGAATTTTGTATGCCGTAACGTGTAAGCAGGGGTTTTCATGTTTGATGGAAAGTCTCTCCCTCCAAATCTGTTTTTTTTTTTGGTTGCGAGTCCGTGACGTTCAATGGACGGTGGCTGGTGTTTTAGTAGTACTTGGACGGAAAAAATGTCACTACTTGGAACGACTGACTGGATATATACCGTCGTTTTCAGCTGTAAGTCTGTAACTGGAAGATTCTATTAGTTCTGGTCGAAATCCTTGACACGTTTAATCGTTCATGTACCGTCGAATGTAAACAAAATAATACTAATATTGATTTCTCACAAAAAAAATTGACTTATATGATGGCGTGCTCTTAACGCCTTGTAACAATTCCAAGGAATGATGGGTGGAAGAGTTTATGGTAATTATATGAGGTTACAAACGAAGAACTTAAAATGTTATAAATTTAACAAGTTGATTTGAAAAGGTTTTCTGAAAAATACTTATGAATAAGGTTTTTCTTTGAAATAGATGTGTTTGAATCTCTTGAAGATGAAGATAAAGATTAAGTGTTTTACACAAAACGATGTGGTAATAACGTGTGATTAATTGAGTTTTAATTATTACAAACTTGAAAAATAGATTAATCTTATATTTTAGAACAACTTTCATATAGAAAGTTTCCGCACGAAACATATCGTTTAACAGTTTGAAAAGCATGCCACTTTCATTCAAAACTTTATCCAGTTTTTATTGGAGAAAAGAACGGGGCCTATAGTATACTCCTACCTTTTAAGAGCTTGTAAAGCGTGACTACGATAGTCTATAAATTATTACTTCACCTGTTGTTTTAAATTATAAGATGTTTAGTGTTTTGAACAGATTCATATATGTGATATATGTATTCAAATTCAAATGAATGTTAGTACTTTTATCCAACGGTCTAGATTCGTTGCTATAAAACACGTAAAAGAATAATTTTTGCTACAATATACATGTGCTCCAGTGATGCATTGATCTGAATAATTAATTTGTTATCATGTGGTGCCAGCGCAACTGCTTAAGTTGCAGTTACACTGGCAACTGCACCAGATCGCAATCCTTCACAGTGCTCCTACGTGGTGTGTGGACTCGCCCAGCCACGTAGGACACTCGTTGCAGTGGACGAAAAAGTAGATGGGGCCCATGACCTTAGTTTGCTTCCGTGTCTTATTTTGGCTACGAGAGCCTCGCCTGCAACAACACGCATTTGACGCAGGGCGCACAAAGTTGTGGGGAGGGGAGAAGGGAAAGCGGCGGCGCCGCGCATTGTGGTCGTCAGTGATACCGCTGCTGTGAGTAGATCGGCCGGCAAGAGGAGGGTGAGGCAGCCATTCTCATGGAGTGTGAGGCGCCGCGAGTAGCCGCCGTTGCCGGCTCCAAGAAGATGAGGAGCGTGAGCTTGATCCACCAGCAGCGGCACCATCGGAGCTCGATTCGTCGCCATTGTAGCTCGATCCGCAGCCTCCGAGCTCGATCCGCTGCTGCCAGCGAGGGAGGGAGAGGCGCCCGTTGCCATCTTGCTGCCGCCGCCGCTGTGTTATCTTTTAAGCCGCGCCGGTGGTGGAGTGGGGGAAGGAGACCGGCGCTGGCTTAGAGAAGGAGCGCCGCCGGTGGGAGGAGAGGAGGGGGTGAGCGACTCGCCATGGGAGCCGAAGTGAGGGAGAGGGAGAGAGAAAGGGGAAGAAGGAGTGGCGGAGGTTGTGGAGAGAAGAGTTTCGCGCTGTTTTTTTCGTACGTGGCTGTTTGGGCTCCTCGGAAAAATAGGACGCATTGGTAATGCCCTTACCAGTATGTCAGAGGAATGTATCTCCTAGACTTATGGACCCATGGGAGTGGGCCCCACCTATAGGTTTCACCTAAAGGCCCCTTACTGGCTGTGTTCTTTGTGTGAGTTCCCAACTCATCTTGTTTTTTTTCCGTACGCACGCTTTTCAAACTATTAAACGATGCGTGTTTTGCAAAAAAGTTTTTATAGGAAAGTTGCTTTAAAAAAATCATATTGATCCATTTTTCAAAGTTTTCTATAGCTAAAAAATCATGTGTTAGGCCGAGTTTAGTTCCAAACTTTTTCTTCAAACTTTCAACTTTTCGGTCACATCGTTCTAATTTCAACTAAACTTCTAATTTTAGCGTGAACTAGACACACCCTTAATCTATCGCTCCGTTTTACGTGCGGATGGAAGGGTTCCAAAACCCTCCTACCAAAAGAAACACAGCCTAAGAATTTTTACCGTTGGAGACCCTCTTGGTTGGATTTTTACCGTTGGAGACCCTCCTTCCAACTTGGATACCACCGCTGCTACTGATAGCGATCCAAGTAATTATTAAGGGCCTGGATCAACCGTCGGATCAAGAATTTGCGGCCCAGATCGAGGCGGAACAAGAAAAAAATCTTTCGTGGACGATCAGCTTAGCGGGGAAGGTTTTGCGAGAGAGCCCCTCCATTAACATGTTTTTACCGTTTAATCCCTGCAACCCCAAAGTTCTCCTGTCGCCGGGGTCGGCGGCGAGGCGGCGACGCCATGGCCGCACGGCCCACAGGTCGCCGCCGCCGCGGCCTCGCCGTCGTCGTATCAAGTAACATCGCGCTCTTTGCGGGTGCGCTCCCTTTTCCTATTAGCTTTAATTTTGGTTACCTTTCTTCTCTCCTCCCTCACCGACGCATCTCTCTCTTACAGGCGGCGACGAAGCCGACGATGGTCCCGGATTCTCCGGGGGGAGATCGAATGCTTCTCTCCGCCGCCGAGCGCCGCGGCAGGGTACGGTCTCAGCAGGTCGGCCATCCATTCCTCCCCCCCCCTCCTTCGCTCACTCTGTTCATGGCGGTAGTCAGGCGGCTCTGAACGAGGGGGAGCTCGGAGCCCTTTTGATTGGGAGTGCGGAAACCCTCGGTGGCGGCTCGTAACTCGTAGCCCCTGGCTCCGACCACGTCTCCGCCTGATGGAGGTGGCATCCAGAGAGAGGTGAGTTGCTCTCTTCAAATAAAATTCATGTTGGATGTTTTAGTTCGTTTAGATTTTCTATTTCCTTGGTTATCGTTCAATGCCAAATCAAATGGTTTTATTTGTCCTGTCTCTGGAACATGGGGTACAATTTAGCACACCAAGCTATTTTAATCTGAAAAGGAAAAGGAAATTTCCACCAGAGGAGAGCCTCCTGATGTTTGTATAATATTGTAAGACCTAAGCTTTGAGATACTATGCAAAATGTTTAAGGGGACAAAAGCAATCTTAGCTGAACTTCATTAGATGAACCTTTAAACGATGAAAGCAATCGCCCATTTTCCGTCAAGCCACCTCACCAATCGATAAACTATTCCGGATGTATGAGTTTTCCTGCGTTTATTAAGAATTCCGCTGTGCTAAAATCGAGCCGAACCTGAGATTGGTACTACTCGTGCTCCAGTAGCTCTCTCGCCCCTATGAATGACAATAGATGCACTGCGCTTAACCGTGCTGTTTTGCAGATTCATGTTTTGTTTCCCTTTTGCTCCAGTTTCTTCTTGTTCCTTCTCTTCCTCAATTGTGTCTGCTTTAAATTCTTGTGGAAAATCTTGCTCTGCATCTCCAATTCCAGATTGAACTTGCTTGTTTTTGTAGAAATAAATAACCAGAGCGATCAAAAGCGAAGAAGTTGAGGCAATTCCAGTAAGAATGAAGAGACCCTTAAAACTTTCAAAGGTTAGACTACCCGAAATAGTGACAGGACCCACATTTCGGCACTTATTTTGATCTCCAATCCATTTATTCTCTATCTGAATGATAGTGTCTCCCCCAGTTATATTGAGGATTGCCTTCGAGATGTCACCACGTAGAGGGGATTCCTTTTGGAATGCCTGTGAAAGAAATGTAGCCTTTTTATTAGCTTCTATCAACATATCCCTGATTATTTTGCACGTGTTAGGAAGGGTAAACTAAGCCTTTTGACTCTCTTAACCCAGGAATAGGTTAACCCCTTACCTTTTCTACTACTATCCCAACTAAATTTAGTTGAGCACCACTACTGCTACCTGGAGTAGGTTAATTTGCAAACACAAGATGTGTGTTACGCTAACCTAAGATGGGTTAATGATAGCCAACCGAGTTATCTTAACCCAAACCAGACTCAACCTTAATTAATTAATTTAAATATGCTAGCCCATCTCAACTTGGTTGAGACTAAAGAATTGTTGTATTAGTAGACTGAAGTTGTTAACACTATCCTTTTCTGTTCATAAATAGCAAATGGCATCTAGCCATCCTGTTAGTCAATTAATCAATGGCAGGCAATGGTCAGCTACCTATATCCTTTAATTAAAAAAAGGAAGACATAAATCAGAATACTGCTGTAAGTACTCTGTTTACTTTACACAATCAAAGGTGAATAATAATATTTTATACTCTTATGACTCAAACACTGAGAGAAGCACATTAGATTCAGATTGTTATATGAGAGTATTAATGAATAGACCAGACTTGAAATATGATGGCACTTTGTTGCTTGTAAATCAATCTATGCGCCTATGCAAATATACAACAGGAAAGTTAAACTTACAAATCCAAAGCCTGCTGTCTTATAAATTGGTCCAACCATTGTGTACCCCTCACAGTGCTTTGCAAGAAATAGTTTGATGTATGGGATTTCGTCCACAACGGCGGAAATACCACCATTGCTGCTTCCCCTAGAAAGTGCATCTCGAAAACCGTCAGTGCTATCATATTGCCTGATCTTCGATTTGTCAAAACCAAGTTCATCTAAAAGATCCTTGACGTAGGAACCACCCTGATAACCTACATATTCTCCATTTTTTAGGAGTTCATGTACATCGGTTACAGTTGGCTGAAGCTGTTGTACAGTTAGCATTGATGTCAAACTTGCTGTGTAACTTGATGTTAGTACCAGAAGAAAAAATAACCATATGATCAACACTATCCGGGACAGAAGGCGTTCCACCATCTCCTCTGAAAAGTTACAAGAAGGAGTTGAGCTATTTTGAAGTGGAAAATATCAAACTTAAATGTTGGCATGTTGTACATCAATAAATCACAAATTGTGAAAAGTCCTTCCTTTATATACGCTTATGTTGTCCAGCTATATCATCTATTTTGTTTTACTGGGTAACAGACAAATAGTAGGGAAATATCTACTATTAATATCACAAAAATATATAAAAGTTACAGGTAAGGAAATAAATACATAAAAGGTGGAGAAGAAAAGCTGCAAATTGACTGATACTGTCTTGTTTTTTTTTTGGGTGGAACATCACTTTTGACCTACAACTGTACAAATCTATATTCCCAAGATTGTCCATTATTTGGGGCGTGTAGTCATCTAAGCTATGAAATATGAGTCACACACCGCATTTCAAGGAATTCCTAGAAACTTTAGGGACTTGTTTATCAATCTTAAGATTGCAAAATATTTTCCACACAAAGATCCACATCTGCCAAGTTGACCTAACGCCTTACATATCCAGAATATATATATATATATATATATATATATATATATATATATATATATATATATATATATATATATATAGGACAAAATGGCAAGTATACTCAACTCTTTACAAACAGGGAAAAATATATCATAACCATCTGTTTGGGAATTGGGCCACGAACAGCCTTGTTGTTACCAAGAAACTCCAGCAGCCATACAACAACCCCTGTGTAGATAAAGAGTATGATGCTCGCAGACCACATTCCAAATGTTAGTGGCTTCAAGAAAATCCATGTCGTCGTGTTTATTCTTTTTCTGACTGGAACAACCATTGCTACGCCTGATTCTGTGTATGGCAGACTGAAGTCGGCATACGAAGATCTTTTGTATGTGATTGTTATGTCTGCAACCGCTATATCATATTTCTGCATGTGCATCGAAATAACTTTTGGAAAGTGCACAAAGAGAACTTGAACGCAAGTTGGTATGGGTCCTGAACTACTTAGAAAAAAAACATGGATATGGTACTAAAGTACCATTTGATGCATAATATTACTACAAAATATATTCTGGTAGAAATTTATTTTTAGAACGTTTAATACTTCAATTATCATGAATATGGTTTTTGATTGATTTTATGGAGCATAAACAATTTCTTACATGACTGATTTTGTTAGTTAAGAATGCAGGACTTATATAAATTTGGAACAAAAGTAATACATATAAGCAGATGCCTTAAAATAGTGAAGCATGTTGATTATGCAGTATGCACTCATATGAACATATAATGGCAGCCATCTTCATAGCTGCAGCTTACTGGCAATATATAAAATGTTGGATTTTCTTCATATTTTTTGACATGACTTTGGACTAAAACTAATATGAAGTGGGAGAGTGAAAAAAATTAAACAATTTTGTAAACGCCGAGGTTATAATGTTTTACTTGCCTTGAGATAAACTTGGTACACAAAATCATCATAGCTCGAACTTATATTCTCTGTAGTGTTGTAGAATACATATTCATAAGGGAGTGCATAAGGAAGCCTCTTTACTGTCTCTTCAAACACTTCAATTGCAAGGCCACTTGCTTTAGTCATACCCACGATAAGAGGATCCTTCTCAGCGTATATATACTCTGGGTATCCATCACTTGTGCATACACCAACCTGAAGCTTCTTTCCACTCGTTGGAATTTCCCAGCCCCTAGGTATATTTGTAGATTCTCCTGGCCAAATCACAGGGTTTAGGTCAGGCTTTGTACTTAAATATGTCCCATTTGATCTTGGTCTGGTTAATCGCTGTGAAAATCCATCTTGTGCAGTCCAAAACCCAACATCTCTCCATCCTTTCCCAACTATATTTATTATTTGAAATGTGGAAGGCTGCAATTGCCTGCCAGAAAGGTCAAAGTAACCACTCAAACCCCTAAATTTATACTGCAAAATTGCATTGAGGAACTTGAGGCCATTTTCAGTTTCTTTGGGGACTTTCAAGCTTGTCATGCTGTTTGTCATATGCTGTATCTGGACTGTGTCTTTTGTAGACTTGGCCTTTTCTACTGCTTGTGCTACTGCCCAGATTGTATCATAGCCCCATAGGCCAAATATACTTAGTTTCAACAGTGGATCATTTGGGTTGTCCATTCGGAATCTTGTATTCCATCTTACAGTGAAGTTGTCAAGTTCTGTTGATTTAGGAACATAGACCCCTACACCCAGGGCACCATTCATAGCTTCCAAAACTGATGGGTTTAGTGATCCAATTAAACTGGCCACTCCAAATGTTACGATCCATACATATCCTTTATCCATCATCCCTACCTCTTTTGCCTTTGTGAAGAGAACAGAGGCCATGGGAGAGGTCATATGTACAATAAAGACCCTCGTTTGCATTGTCATCAACTTGTATAGTTCCTGGGTGATTTGCTCACTTGTTGCTGACTGAGGGATTATACTCTGATAAGGAACACGGGCATCGTTACCTTGGAGTGCTTCAAGAAGGTCCGGTATAATACTTCTGCCATAATCAGTGTCTATGTAGATCGGAACCACCTCTCTCCATCCATAGTACTTGATTAGAGAGGCAATGCTATTCACTTGCGTGGAGTCATTTATTGTTGCACGCAAAAAATATGGATTATTGTCAGAAGTAAGGGATGGACTTGTTGTGGTGAAGGATATGACAGGTACTTCACTTATATTTGCAATATCTGTCATGAAAAATGCTTCTGAAGATTTCTGAGGGCCAATGATAGCTTTCACATTGTAATTGTTGAGAAGGTCAAGAGCTGCAAAATTGCATAGGCAGCAAACAGTAGTTATAAATTGTGCGTGGATGCAAATTAATTTTCTTTTAGACAAAGGAATTAAGGAAGCTTTATTGATCTTAGAGAATTACATCAAGATAATACAATTACTCTAATACCCACTCCCGGCCTCTGCATAACTAGTATGCTTATCAAGAACTTTCATGTGCTTACAGTTGAAAATTGGAAAACTGAAATACTATCTTAATCTTCTGGTGCATGGGATCCGGTTTGCCCATGCTTCATTGAAACATAATTTATTGCAGCAAACCTTAACACTGAGGAAGATTGGACATAGAAACCCCAACCCATTGATGTAACTTGGAATATATAGTTTAGATTTTGGACTAATATTATAAATACCACAATAAATAAATATATATATATATATATATATATATATATATATATATATATATATATATATATATATATATATCATACATCTACCTCAGAAGTTTGCAAGGAGCCAAGAATTCAAATTTCGCCTAGTTTCATTCATCATCTTTGGATGACATCATTCATTAGTCCCAGCTTTGTTGTTTGCTTCAAGGCAATATGGGGTCTCATTCTCTTATAACAATGCTTGAAATGCATTATTATATCGCCATGACTACATTTGTGTGGACCAACTTATACGCAATTTTGGATTTACTTTTGTACTGTGGAACATATTGTTATTGATTTGTGAACATGATCAACCTAAGTAGAAGACTCAAGACATCTTATTTTTTGATGACTGGATAGCTCTAAATGAACTGCAACTGGCAAGTACTTTGAAAATGGTGCCATCTGATTGATTTACCTGTTGCCGATTTTTTATAAAATAACCTATTATTTTCTTTCGTGAAATATTTAACAGGTCACTTGACGCTTCCTTATATTATGATTTTTTTGTTTAATGCATTATTTAAATAGCCTCTAACAGATCCTTTCAAATCGATGTAGTATTTAATTTAAGTAATTCAAAAAAAATGTCTTTTGTTGGACCGAATATTTTATCAGCTAGAGCCTTGAGGGGACTTGGTTGTTTGTACTTTTGGTTGCAGTCTTAGTTGTTTAAGCAACTGCTCCCAATTTGTTTTTCTGAACGGCGTGCAATATCTCTTGTCTGTAAGACAGGAAATGAATAGTTCTCCAAACTAAACTCTAGCTGACTGGTCAAAACTTGTATAATGATCCCAGCAAAACACTATGATTTAGCACTTGAAAAATGGTAGTAGGTCACTAACTTATACGAGGCTTAAATTATCGGTGCAAGTTGAAAGGTTGATGCCATCACCTATTATTCGTGATGTGCACTAGCCATCTGATTAAATATGAGTGCTCTAGATTTGTCTAGTTCCACACAGTTATTTGTTTCAGAATTCAGATGACCATACAGCCAGCCCAGTGCAAGGTGGACACAGAAAGAGAGACGGTGGACGCAGAACCTATTTGGAATGCATGAGTTTGACATAATTAGACTTTTCTTTCATTTGTGTCAGTCAGGATGCAAACTCAAGAATCTGGCTCTGATAACAATTTATGATGTATGCATCACCAATGCAATCCAAAATCTTAAACCGGTGAGGAAGAGCGAGCAATTCACTTATTCTTCGAACACAAGGTTTTACCCAGGTTTTCTTTTTCTTTTCTGTCTCTGTTTTTTTTATCGAATCTTTCTGTCTCTTATTGACATCAAAATGACTTTCTCGGTCTCCCAACGAATATAGTAAACAAGACGCTATATTTCACGTGCTATCTTCCTATTGATATGTTTCGGCCTCTTTTGTGTTCCTAGCCAGGCTAATGATGACGGATATCACAGTTCACAATGTGTTACAATACTAATGCGATGCGTTCTTCATTGTGCAGAACATCGAGCACGTACCTGCTGATGCAGCCTGGAAGTTGTTACCCCTGGAATCCCTGACATGGAGAACCAACCTTGTTCTGTAGTTTTTATGCGATGCATAGAAGTCCTCCACAGCCATTGAGATGCTGGTCCTTGCTTCCTTGCCAACTAACGATCCCAGGTCCAGGATCACCCCGACGTGGAATTCATCTGCTCCAGGGTCGTTCGTCGCATTCAGAGCTACGGCACATGAATGGGCGAAGAGCATCAGCAAGAGGATGGCTCCAGGAGGTGCTTTCTCCATTACAGGTACCTCAACAACTGAGACTCCTGCACAGAGCACTGCGCTGCACAGCACTGGCTAGCTCTTATATATAGTACTGTATACTCTTGTAGGACTACCTGCTGAAAACTTGAGAAGACTTTACCGTCTCTGCAAGACTACAATGGTCAAGAACTCAAGATCACTATCATGTATATCATAGTATGATACTTGGAAGTATTTGAACCGTCTAATTTGATGCGTTTCATGACGCGTTTATCGCAGATGGATCCAAAACCATATATGGAATGATTCGTAGGTGGTTTGTAGAATGAACAGTCCATGGAATAGATTCCAGAAACTGTTAATGACTAATTGGCGCCGTTAGGAGCAAATCCTGATTGTTCAGCATCTGGGAATTTCTCTTTAATTGCCTCGAGCAAGCGATGGCAAGTCAACTCTACTGATTATACTGAATTGGTCAGTACAATTACTGTATTCTAACGACTTGTATTAATCCTTGACTCGTCCGTGAAAATCGACTGCTCATACTCTTTAATATGCATGTTATATGACTACGACCGCTGTAGACCTTTCGAATTTTGCTTAATTGGTTCTGTAGAAGATTTTTTTTTTGAGCGGAATTCTGTAGAAGATCGATTCGTAATGTATGGCCGGTGAAACGGTGAATCTCTTAACCCGGCACAACTGCAACAACTGCAATTGGTGTTGAACCTTTGTGATACGATTTCTCGAACCATATGAGCTGTTTCAAAAAAGAAAAAGAAAAACACTCTGCCGGTATTTTAAAGTTACAGCTGTCCGCAATTTTGCTTAGAGGTGCATATTACACTGAAATCTTCTGCTTTGTCTTTAGAAGAAAATGGAGAACAAAAGCCAGCTTCCGAACTTGAAAAATATTTCCTTACTTGCGAAAGAGCCTATAGTCTAGTGGTTATAAGAGCCTCAGTAGCATCTTAGGTCCTGGTTCTACTCCCCATAGGAGCGAATTTTCCAAGATTTAACCGCGAGCGTGTGTAATCCATAATTTGATGTTGACGGGACCTAAGAACAGTTGAACACCACAGTACACAAACGTCGAAGCTGCCAGGAAAAGTACACCGAAGATCCCTCAACTTGTCAGCGAGATACAAAAACATCATCGAACCGTAAAACTAGATATGCGAGATCCCTTAACTATACAAAACCGGTCACCCGAGGTCCCTTGGTGGTTTTGATGCCAGATTTGTCCTACGTGGCGGCCGAGTTAGCATGAGTCCCACATGTCAGGATGCCACATCATCTCTCTCTTTCCCCTCTTCTCTCCCTTCCTCTCTCTCTCACTTTCTCCTCGTCTGCTCGTCTGGTGGCCGATGACGGGCGATGCGACGCCGACGAGGATGTAAAGGCGGGAGAGGAGAGGAGGTCCGGCGACCGACGACCGACGACCGGCAGGGGAGAAGAGCAGCGGCGAGGCGGGAGCAGGCTGGGGAGAGGAATGACGACGGCTGGGGGAGAGTGGGTGTTGGAGTGTATAAAGTGAATTGCTCGTCTTTCCCTATTAGGTTAGGCTTTTAGGTGTAACTGGTTGGTGCATGCAACTTAATATGGTATTAGAGCCAGAGGTCTCGAATTCGATCCTGGCTGGCGCGCAATTAAATAAAATAATTGCAGCCCACTCCAATATTCCACCCTTGAGACTTGAGGAGGGTCTCGCGTGAAGGGGAGTGTTGGAGTGTATAAAGTGAATTGCCCGTCTTTCCCTATCAGCTTAGGCTTTTAGGTGCAACTGGCTGGTGCATGCAACTTAATAGTGGGAGGTGCGCGGCCGCCGGGCATGGGAGAGCGCATGGGGAGTGGCGGCTCTCAGGGGCAGGGGAGATGCCACCTCCAGCTCCCGCATCGCCGCGCTGCCATGTTCTCCTCCCACGGGCCGCTGTCACGGATGGGGAGTGGCGACGCTCGGCCTCATCGTCGTCGTCGACTCCGGGCAGGGATACGACGCTTGACCTCGTCGTTGTCGGCGCCTCCGGGCAAGGATAGGGCCGCCACCGCTTCCATGCTCCCCGCCATGAATGGAGAGATCGATCGAGAGGAGTGACTTAGATGCCGCACGGAGTTCGTTTCGCTCCTCGCCACGCACCGCTTCGCAGCCGCCAAGTCGCTACTCGCCTCCCGTATCACGCCCCGCCTGCTCGCCGTCCCCTTCGCCGACCTGGCCGCCGCCTCCCTCCCTTGAGCCGCGCCGGTGCCACCACTCGCGCCGCCGCTCCGGCGAGCAGGCCACCTCGACACTGCCGCCGCCGACTGCCCGCCGCTCAGCCTCATCGTCATCGGCAGCTCCGGGCTGGCACAGCTCCCCCCGCCGCCGCCTTGCTCCCCTGCTCCCGCGTCATCGTCGCCGCCGCCGCCGCGTCGCCGGATGCCGATCCTCCTCTCCCGCCTCACCCCGTCGGCCGGCGGCGCCGGCCTGCCCAAAGCCCAGAGAGAAGATTGAGAGAGAGAGAGGAGGAGGAAGGGAGAGAAGAGGGGAAAGAGATAGGAGGGTGAGGTGCACATGCTGACACGTGGGTCTCACGCTGACTCAACCACCGATGACTGTGGTCAAAGCGCCACGTAGGATAAAACCGGGTGACAAATGGACCCCGCATATATGGTTTTGCGGTTCGAGGACGTTTTTTATCTCGCTGACAAGTTGAGGGACCTTCGGTGTACTTTTTCCAAGCTGCCACTCAAGCGACGTGAACTGGGCCGTATTGGGCCCAGTTCACCATTCATCTCATGAACTTGGGCCGAGCTTGTGACATGTCCCGTCTTAGTCTGTGTCGCGGACTCTGGATGGACCTCAGCGGCCCATGCTGAGACTGTAACCCAACTCAATGTTTCCGTTCCGTTAGATTCGCTGGTCTGGACGCCGCCTCCGCCGCCGCCGCCATGGCGCGGCAGCAAGTCGCCGCCGCGGCCGCCGTCGCCGCCATCGCCGGCGCTGCCGCCGTTCTTGCAAGTAATATCGCATCTGGGAATTCCCTTGTCCTCTTATAGCTTTACGGTTGGGGTACTTACTTCTCTCCTGTTGCTCACCGGCGTTGCACCGATCTCCACAGGCGAGCTCTACAGTCGGAGGTGCCGTCGGTTGGCGACGAGGGTCCGGGAGCTGGAGGCCTCGCTTGCCGCCGCCACGGAGAAGGCCGCCGCCGAGCGCCGCGGTAGGGTTCGGGCGCAGCAGGTCGCAATCCGTAAATCTCGATACCGGTGTTCACGGCCTTCAAATTTTGCACGTTTTCCCCCCGTTTTTGATTAGTTTTTCTACTTGCAGTCGCTAAGGAAGGCTCTGAGCGAGCAAGAGCTCAGCTCGGATGAGAAGAAGAAGCTGAGCCAATCCCCCAAGTCGTTCCCCATGGCTTCGATCGGTGTCGTGCAGTCATGCTTCTCCACTAGGTGGTGCCATCTCTTCATTTCAGCCAATTAGTTGTGCTTTTGTAGGATTCGGTGAACTTGTTGAGTAGTAAGAATGTAAGAGTGAGTGATTTTTTTTTGCAGGAATGGGACGCCGAGGCAGCCTTTGGTGGTGCCACTTGCCAGAGCAACCGTGATGCTTGATCCAGCCCGTGTCCCTGCGGAAGCGCTTGAGGGACTTGCCGATTACTCGCACTGCTGGATCCTTTATGTGTTCCATCTGAACACTGACCTTGATAAAATGTGGAATGACCCTGCTAGGTCCAAGCTAAAAGCAAAAGTATGATACGGTGTTAATGCTTAATCCTTAGTTTGTACTTTTAATTCTTGATGAAAAATGATTCTTTGTCATGTTATATGTTTTGAGGATAAGGGGCTGAACCAACTAATCAAATGTTCCTTTTGCTGTTGAAGGTGAGAGTACCTAGGTTGAAAGGGGGCAAGATGGGGGTTCTGGCAACTAGATCTCCACACCGGCCTAATCCAATTGGACTCAGTGTAGCGAAGGTAAGTATTGTAGGATCCAACCCTGCAGGCTCTTATTATCTGTGCAGCATATGCAATTCTCTACTATTATAAAAATTGAAGATGTTTTTGCCGGTACTTTTGTACGTCATCTGTGTATGAGTCGGTTTTCAAGTTTGTTCACTTTTGGAAATACATATCCGTATTTGGATCGTTTATTAAGTTTGTTTTCTCTTGGAAATACATAAGAGTCGTATAAGAAATCTCTTTAAAAAAATCGCATGCTAACTTGAGACGATCGGACTCTAATTACAACTCATGATTTTAAGCGAATTCCCACAATGAAGTTCACTTAATTAAACCGTATAACAATAATAAGATTAAAATAACCTTCACCCGTCGCAACGCACGGGCATTTGTTCTAGTAAAGGTAAAAGTGTAATATGAGTCCAATTGTTGGCTCCAATTATTATTGCCTTTTTGGACAAGTCGGGAAAGGCATTCATGATTCATATAAGTATACTTAACTTTGCTATTGGCAACAATTGTGCACTTCCAGACAGTTTTTAACCTGAATGGTGCTAGCTATGACTGCCAGTATTTCTTATTGTTTTCAGTTACAGCTTTCCACATAGGTTTGATGAGAAAAGATTTTATCATAACCAACACAAGCTAGTCTGGATTCTGATGGCAATTGACTTACATACGAATGGAATTACATGCCCCCCAAATTACTACATAAATCAGTAGAATGATTTGTCTTGGACTGTATCTCATTTGTAGTAGTCATGTTTAGCATGCCAACTTGTCTTCATATTTTTTTGCTTCAACATTTCATAGGTTGAGGCGGTGGATGGGCATTCAATTTTGCTTTCTGGAGTAGATTTGGTTGATGGCACGGTACCATATTAAGTGCTTATGTTCTCCAGCAGTACATAATGAATTGACATGATTCAGCATGCCTCACATGAACCTTCCTAATATGCTCCTCTATCTACAGCCCGTGCTTGATATCAAACCGTATCTGCCATATTCTGATGGTGTTAAAGGTGCAGCTATTCCTAATTGGTTAGAGGTACATACTATATATTTCTTTCTAGAAAAATATTTGTTCAGCACATTTCTCCTATCTATTTATAAGGGGCACTGACCCAACATGACTGGAGATATGTATAGTGTGGTGTTTTACCCTTAGGTAGTTGCATTCATTTCTCATTTTCAGAAACTTATCTTTTGTGAAATTGTAGATAGGACTGAATCTTGAGAATCTATTGTTCTATTTTGTTTAGGTACTGTGGGTTGAAAGCTCACTGGTTCAGTACTTCAGTTTGCACAACTAACTTTTTTGTGATCTTGTGAAAGTAGCATCCTATAGTTCATTTTCTACTTAGAACCATCTCAACTGCAGGCTCGCTTGTTTAGCTTTTGAGGCAACACTATAAATGGTTTACTCTTGGATCGCCTGGTTTGTCCACCACCAACTAATTTTGAGTATTATCTTCCAATCAGGTTGACGGTGCATTAGCTGTGGAGTCTATCCACTTTTCTGAGCACTTCATTTCTTCACTTTCTGATTGCTGGATGCATGTAGTAAGTAAAATTTGCTGCTTCTTACTGCAGTATGACATGGCAGATTTTTATGTCAGCTGAACAGCAAACTACAAACATCTAACTTACATTCAAATTTTGTTTACTTCAGAAAAAGCAATCACTCTACGCTTCAGCAGATGAGTTTCAGGATCTTGTCAAGGAAGTGCTCTCCTGGGACATCAGGTCGCTGTCTCAGCGGATCCGTCCCCATGATGTGACCATAAAAGATGTCACTGATAATGGCGGCAGCAAAATTGACAACGGTTGCAGCAACGATGAGGATCGCCAATCCGTTGACCCGTCCACTAGCGTGGTCTACCACCTTCATCTAGAAGGCATTGATGTGTCATACAGAATTGACCAAGATTCCAACATTGTTGTTGAGAATGCAGCCCTTCTCTCCAGTGCTGTGAACCAACACCGGTACAGCTACTTAACATGGAGGGAAAAGGTAAGCATTTTGTAGGAGCATATATTAGAGCTCATTATCTGAAAAACAAATAGAGCTCATGCAGTAAACTGTATGCATGAAAAAAATATATATTAGAGCTAATTACCATGGAGTAAAGCTGTATGCAATCTTATGAAATTCTACTCTAAAATGTCATGAGGTCAATGGATTCTCTAGCTTTTCTCATTTAAAGAAAGAATTTGAGAGTGTTTCTCTTTCAGAAAGAATTTGGCAGCGTGGAATTCCTGAAGTGAATGTGTTCTTGCCATTTCTATCTCCATGCTGGTGATCTCTGTTGGGTTGCGTGACATGTATAAAACCATTGGCTGCCTTGTCGAGTGGGCCGCCTGGACTGCGTTGCAGGTGGCGATATGGCCTAGGAATAAGTTCATATGAGGTCCCTAATCTTAATTTGTCAATGATCCAACTTTCGACCTTCAACCGGATACAAACCGGTGCAAAAATAAGTCTCAAGACGGTTTGGATGACGGTTTCGAGGCGCAGCTAATTTGACTCGTTTTCCGCTGACGTGGTACATGAAACAAGATTTAACAATTAAAAAAATAAAATAAAAGATGTGGACTCACATGTTAGTCAAAAAAATAAAATTAAAAAATAGTGGGACCCATATGTCTTCATATGATGTGGCACGTGAAATAAGATTTAACAATTAAAAAAATAAAATAAAATATGTGGACCCACATGTTAGTAAAAAAATAAAATTAAAAAATAGTAGGACCCTATGTCAGTGGGCCCCACTCCCTCCCACGTATGGGAAGGTGAGTGGTAGTGGGCCTACAAGCGGGCCGCGCCGGTGGCCACCTCAGCTCGTTCCCCTCGCCGCCGCGCCGCGGGCACCGCCGCCATTGCTGCCGCAGGAGCAGGTTTTGGTGTTTCAGGTTGTCCTGGAATGTTTCGGCTCAAGAGATCTAGCTTGTTTCCATGTTGGTGAGGCTGGCGGCACGGCGGGATGTTTGCCGGCAATCCGGCGGAGTGGCTGTCGGCGGCTCGCGATGGGACGCACGCGGGCGGCGGCGCAGCCGTGGCAAGAGCGAGAAGGTCCGGAGAACCCTGTTCCCCATGGGATGGGAGGGAGGTGAGCGTTTCTCTACCCTACATACGAGATTCTCCATTGGTGGAACAGCCTGTCTCTGGTTTGTTTTCGTAGCGCGAGCAATGTTGTAGTGGCCGTGACAACGCCTACAGGAACAGGAGGGATTCGTTGCAGATTGCAAAGTCGCAGTTCAGGCAGTATTAATTGCAGTGTACTCTAGCTACAAGAGCTCTTCGAAGGGTCGGTTCTTCATTAACGTGGGCTGGAATTTGATTGCCGGGTAGTATTAATTGCAGTGTACTCCTACAAGAGCTCTTCGAAGGGTCGGTTCTTCATTAACGTGGGCTGAAATTTGATTGCCGGGTCGGCCGAAAGTTCGGCCGACCAATTTCATTAAGATTGGGAGAAAGGATCATTACAATAGAAGCTTACAACGATAATATGATGTCGAAATGATTGGGGAAACAATCCCAACCATGTAAGCTATAGTTGTATGCTACAGGGATTACAGATTAATCATTATCGCCATTACAAGTGGTGAAAAATCCTGCCGACTTCCAAATGAGGATCTCTTCCTTGATGTCGCTCACTAGCTGCTCTGGGCTGGAATTTGAACCAACCTTTTCTTTTCTTTACAGCGTCTTTGATCCATGCCTTGGATATGTTTGTTATAATGCCTGTTCATCTTTTCAGCAGTATGCTAAGTCAACAAAGATGTAGCAAATGATGAAGTTTCTCTGCAAATTAAGTTAACAGTTCATTGTAGAAGCTTCCTGAATTGCATTTCTATGCATTACACTGCTAGATGGTTTGTATCCGTCTAATACCTAAGCAATTTAGATTTTTTGATTGACATGCCATTGGAAAATTGGTTTGTGTGTGCACAGGCAAGCGGGGATGAACGTGCAAACAGAAGGTGACTTGGCATATTCTAGAGGCATGAAAAGCTGAATTAGCTGAGTTATTGTTGTGCATGAGATGCAAAATACGGACTTGTTTGGATCTCTGAAGCTGGGCTTTGCTCTATGGATATTTCCCCGTCTTGTTGACAGCTATATTCATCTGAATCATCTGGCACTGTCAGTTGCAGGTTGTGAACCTGGTTGGAGTGTATTGTCATTTCTTGATTTTGTTCATTTATTCGCTCTGCTTCATATCCTTTCTGAGTCTGGTCACGACGTATGCTGTTCCTTATCCTGTGCTTATTCTTGTAGAGAAACATCACCAGGGCTATTAAAAGGGCTGAGGTTGATGCAACTCCTGTGACTAGAAAAAGTCCTGAAAAGCTGTTGAAGTTTAGACTGCTCGAGCTGATGATAGTGCCATCATTCTGACAGGCATGTTGGTCCCCAATCCATTTCTTTTCTATATTAATTATAGAATCTCCCTCTGTTATGCTGAGGATTGCCCTTGAGAAGTCGTAAACCAGTGGGGATCGTTTGGGAAATGCCTATACAAGAAATATAACTAATTCAGTTACTTTCAAACCGATAAGTAATGCAGAATTAACTTTAGGCCTAATGTGATAGATTTCTAAGGGCGAACATTCTAAGATTCTCCATAATATTGATGAAAAATATATTTAAGGTAAATAAATTGCAAGGTACTCCCTCCGTTTCAGGTTATAAGACGTTTTGACTTTGGTCAAAGTCAAACTACTTTAAATTTAACTAAGTTTATGCACAAATATAGTAATATTTATAATACCAAATTAGTTTCATTAAATCAATAATTGAATATATTTTCATAATAAATTTGTGTTGAGTTGAAAATATTTTTTTTCTACAAACTTGGTCAAACTTGAAGCAGTTTGACTTTGACCAAAATCAAAACGTCTTATAACCTGAAACGGAGGGAGTAGATAGTTGCAGTTAGATTTTGCAAAGTCATGCCTGCGGGGTATGGTTTGAGGTTTTTATCCATCAGCTAAGTAGCACATAAGTAGGGGCACTATCAATTAAGAAAATAAGGATTCAACGGAAAACCGGAAAATTGCCCAGAGCAATGTTATAGACTATGAGATTATCACATCCTAAAACAACGGAGGTATCTAGTGGGGTTATTTACCATGTTAAATGCATGTTTTAAATTCAACTGGCATTACATAACACACATATCTTGTCTAGAGACCACAGGTTTGTTATTATCTTGGATTTTATTATGTATGCCTCTATTTCCAAATGTTTTATATATGTTTTCATAAGTATGGGCCGATCTCAATTATGTATTTACTAGGATTTTGTACTTCAAACTTCAAAGATATGTGATGTGGACAGAATATCTATCAAGTTAACTTACAAAGCCAAAACCTTCAGACTTGTAAATTGGTCCTATCATTGTGTACCCTTTGCAGTGCTTTGCAAGAAATATTTTTATGTATGGAACTTCATCTATGACAGCTGAAATACCACCATTTTGGCTCCCTTTGGCGAGTGCATCGGCAAAGCCATCTAAATCATTATATGCCCTCAATTTTGTTCTATCAAAACCAAGTCCTCTTAATAGATCGGCCACATAAGAACCATTTGGATACCCTACGTATTCTCCATTTTTAAGGAGCTCATGAACATCAGTTACTGTGGGCTGAAGCTGTTGCACAGTTAGCATTGATGATAGATTGGCTGTATAGCTTGATGTAATCACGAGAAGCACAAATACCCATACAATGACAACCAGTCTAGACAAAATGCTGTCCACCCTTTCCCCTGCAAAATGGTGAACCATCATATTTTAGAACTTCAAATTAACATTGATGCTGAATTTACTCTTACTATGCCTGTATCCCTTTGTTTGTTAAAGACTGTATTGTAAAATAAATTGCTTTTTTGTCAGCTCTTTCTCACTGAATTTGACAAACGCAGTATTCTGTATGTAGATAAGAAAACAAGTATAGTCACTCACTATCTGCAAAGAACGAGAAATATATTGCTATGCCAAGCTGGCGGAGAAATGAGCCAGTCAGTTCAGCATTATTGCTTCGTCGCTCCAACAACCATATTACAATTGCTGTGTAGACGAAGAAGGCGATGCTCCCAAACCACAGGTCAGTAGTTAATGGCTTCAAGAAAACCCATGTATTCTTATTCCTGTCGTCCCTGACTGGCACAATCATTGCCACCCCAGATTCAGTATATGGTAGTGTGAAGTCAACATATGAAGTTCGATTGTACCTGATGGTTATATCCCCAATGGCTGCATCATATACCTGCAAGTTTTTTTTTAAAAAAATTGTTATTTCAGTTACTTTTGAAATGTATGATAATTTGTGGAAAATGGCAGAAAACATGGGTATAGTTCCATCATGCCAATCTATCTAATCTGAATGGAACTTCTTACCATCCTTGAGGAGATACCAAGATGTACCACAGTAGAAAGCATAAAAAAGATTCAATCTGAAAAGGAAAAGTACTGCAATCTATTTTACATACTCCCTCCGTATTTTAATGTATGACGCCGTTGACTTTTTAACCAACGTTTGACCATTCGTCTTATTTAAATTTTTTATGTAAATACAAAAATACTTATGTCATGCTTAAAGAACATTTGATGATAAATCAAGTCACAATAAAATAAATGATAATTACATAAATTTTTTGAATAAGACGAAAGGTCAAACGTTTGTCAAAAAGTCAACGGCGTCATACATTAAAATACGGAGGGAGTACATACTTCAGGGGGTTAAATAGACTTTTTCCTTTATTATATACCCATTGACTATTAAAATTCATTTCAGAACATGTATTGTCAAGTTTTGAAACTCTGACCACTGATATACACAAAAGGATTTATCAAATGGGAACGCTACTACTCCCTTTGTTCCACATTGTAAGTCATTTTACTTTTGTCCAAAGTCAAACTTCTCTAACTTCGACCGAGTTTATATAAAAATGCACCGGCATCTACAGTAAAAACTAAATACACTATCAATACATATTTCATGGTGGATTTAATGAAACTAATTTGATGTTGTAAGTGTTGGTGTATTTTTTTTTTGGTAAACTCAGTCAAAGTTTGAGAGGTTTGACTTAGGAAAAAACTAAAATGACTTATAATATGGAACGGAGGGTGTATTTTTCATCAAAAGTACTTTCACACTATTATGTTAAGATAATTTTGACTGACATATAATTAAAAAATAATGTTCAAATTTGTATACATGAGACTGCGCCAATGCTTGCTATGGTACCAATATGGTGGAAAATGTTGTGTAAGAAAACAAATGATAAATATATCCAAACTGAACAACATAAAAAATCACCTGAATTGTTCCAATAAGGGTAGATGAATAAAGTTTTGCAAAAAGAAAAGTCAGAGAATAATTAAATTTGCTTTATTAAAATTTCAAGTGGGCATACTGATTTCTGTGGCATAAATTTGATAAATTGAGAGTAAAAATTTCTTACCCCTAGATAAACTTGGTAGACAAAATCATTATAACTCCCAGAGTTTATTCCTTGTCCATTATCAAATGATACATATTCATAAGGTATTGCATATGGAAGTCTCTTTAACACCTCTTCAAATACATCAATCGCATACCCAGAAGCTGTTATTTCATTGGTTACAGGATTACTTTCCACCTTCATAAACTCAGGATACGCATTGGTCCGTACACCTATACGGAGTTTCTTTCCATTAGTAGGAATTTGCCATCCTTTGGGCACTGTATATACTTCTCCTGGCCACACCACTGGATTAAGATCAGGCATAGAGTTCATGTTTGTTGTTTTTGATTTATTTTTGTTTAATTGCCTGAAGATTCCATGTTTTGCTGTCCAAAAGCCTATTTCTTTTAACTGACTTCCAACTACATTAATTATCTGGAAGGTGGAAAGCTCCAGCTGCCTGTTTCTAAGGTCAAATTCACCACTTAGACCTCTGAACTTACTAAGTAAGATTGAATCTAGGAGTTTCGGACCAATTGTAGAAATTCTCAGAGTTCCCAAACATGTTGTGTTCTTTGTATCTTTCTGCTTTTGAAATATGGCATCAGCCATTCTTACTTTTTCTGCTGCTTGTGCTAATGCCCAAATAGTATCATAACCCCAAAGCCCGAAAATACTTAGTTGTGATGGTGGATCATTTGGGTTGTCTTCTTTAAACCTCTTATTCCATCTTGTAGTGAAGTCATCAAGTTCCTTTGATGCAGGCACATAGAACCTGACACCGATTGCACCACTCATTTCCTCAAGAATTGAAGGGCTTAGCGAATTAGCAATATTTGAAATGCCATCTGTCAAAATCCATGCATAGTCTTCACTCATCATTCCTAAGTCCTTGGCCTTTTTGAAGAGAATTGATCCAATGTTTGTTGACATATGAACAACATAGACTCTAGTTTGCATTGTCATTAACTTGTAGAGTTCTCGCTCAATTTGGTCAGTATTTGCTGATTCAGATATTGCACTACGATAAGGCATAGATGCTCCAAATTCCTGGAGGGCATCAGCCAGGTATGGTATGATGCCTCTACCATAGTCTGTATCCTCATAGATGGGCACCACTTCCCTCCAGCCATATGCCTTAGCGAGAGCAGCAAGTGTATTCACTTGAGCAACATCACTTAATGTCCCACGCAAAAAGTATGGCACATTGATAGATGATAGAGTGGGGTTTGTTGCAGTGAAGGAGATAACTGGGACTTGGCTCTTGTTCCCAAGATCTGACACAAATGTAGCCTCTGAAGATTTTTGTGGGCCAACAATAGCTCGCACATTGTAATTTTCCAGCAGGTCAATTGCTTTATAATTTAATAGAAAAACAATTAATTTGAAGAATATCTGTGTTCATATTAATTGCAGCTAAGAATCTTAATGCAATTAGAAGTGTTATGCATATAGAACTAGTTATGTTATAACTTTCCTTAGAATATAATGGCTATTCTTATTATAGTGGTGTATTCAGGGACTAAACTTTAGTCCCTTTCACATCGGATGTTTAGACACTAATTTAAAGTATTAAACATAGACTACTTACAAAGCTAATTTTCATAAATGAGAGCTAATCTGTAAGACAAATTTTTGAAGCCTAATTAATCCATAATCAGAGAATGTTTACTGTAGCATCACATAGGCTAATCATGGATTAACTAGGCTCAATAGATTTGTCTTGTGAATTAGTCCAAGGTTATAAAATGGGTTTTATCATTAGTCTACATTTAATACTTCTAATTAGTGTCCAAACATCCGATGTGATAGTGACTAAAATTTTTTAGCCCCATCCAAACTCCTCAGGCATTGAGCAAAGCAGAGAGCACCCTCTATATGACTTAACTATATTTGGTATGGAACTTTCTTTGTTTCTCCAGAAATGAAGGAGTTGCTAATAAGAGAGAACTCAAAATAGGAGGATTCGTTTGTAAATTACAGTTGCATAAACTTAAAAGTGGGGAGGCCCTCACTTTTACCTGCATATAGATCCATGGAGTTATCATGAAATTCAGCCTTTTATTTTTGCTTAAATTTATGATATTTATAAAAGAGAAGTTGTATATGCACATATTGTTTTGAAGATTTGCAGCAGCAGTAGAAAAGATAAGTGTGTAATAAAAAATTATATAGATGATAAAAAGCTTGTCGTTTCAGTGCTTTTTTTTCTGTGTGTTTCCTCGATAAAGTTTTAATCTAAAGAATTTCAAGTTGTTGAAGTTCCCTAAGATCAAAGAGTATTCCATAACAAAGTACTAGCAGTAGCTATATTTTGGGACATAAGGAGTAACTTCTTTATCGTATCTCGCCTCATTATGATGCAGTATTGACTCAAAATTTGACAATCTTAGCTAAAATTTACAGATTGTGAAATGTACCTTCTGATGCAGCTTGGATATCATCTCCATTGGAATCCCTAATGTGGAGAACCAGCTTTGTCTTAAAGTTCCTGTGGGCTTTATAGAAATCTTCCACAGCCATCAAAATGCTGGTACGTGCCATTTTGCCCACCAACGACTTCAGGTGGAGAATCACTCCAACATTCAGTGTATCTTCTCCACTCCCAGTGATATTTTGAGCAACAGTCAGACTGAGGAACAGGAAGAAGATTGCAGCCCTTCCAGCTGCTCTCTCCATCCCCATGCTGTGTTGGTTGATGTTCTGCTGGTTACTGAATGCATGGTGCTATGAAGTCTTATAGCCCTATCCTTTTTTTTTTCCTTCATTATTCTGACTTGGTCAGATTGCATTATAGTCTCTATTGTCTCCGAATTAAAATTTTAAGTTTGCTTCTGGCAATCTCTTCCTTGCGTAAGAGGCTACTGTTCTGTTTATAAGTACAAAAGAGACGTTTCTGAATAGAACCATGTTAGGGTGATGGCTGTGGAAATTCTGGGTTGGAAACCCAGGAAGAATGAGCTGGAAACGCATATATACCTTCACCTTCCTCAAGTGAATCATTGGTCCTCAAGGAATGGGATTGTGATAGTCAAGGAAGTCGGAACTCGCGTTTGGCATGGGGAGTTGCTCTGAATGTTTGACTCTCTTGGCATGCTTTGATGTGTGGTACTCCCTTTGTTTCCAAATGTTTGTTAGCTTTGACTATTATTATTTCAACTTTGATCACCGATAACTTTGGAATGACGAGATTTTGATAAATAAAGGTTGCATGGCAACGGTGAGATTTCATTTGTAGGCATCACTTCGGTGGTGTTCTTTTCTCCTGAAGATGAAGATGAATATTAAGTTTTTTACGCAAAACGACGTGATATTAACGAATGATTGATTGAGTTTCAATTATTACAAACTTGAAAAATAGATTAATATGATATTTTAGAGCAGCTTTCATATAGAAAGTTTCGCACGAAACACATTATTTAGCAGTTTGAAAAGCGTGCTACGAAAATCTTAATCTTCATCCAACTCTTGTTGGAGAAAAGAATAGGACATTCACCTTACTATTGTAGATAATCTACTTCTTTTAGATAATGGATTAGAAACCCGGCATCTACATCTAACGGGATGTAAACAGCCAACCAAGTTCATACATGTATATAATGTACTTAGCCAGTTCGCTCGTAGAAATGACAGTCAATGGCCAATGCATGTATATTTTTCCTATGTGCAGTAAGTCCGTAGCAATTAAACAAAGTGCGAGAGCCTTGAAGAATGATATATCTCTGAAAATAACCTCTTAGTTTTGCAGTTTATGGGCACAGCACTGAGCATGCTGTTTGTAATGGCAAGTCAAGTCAATGGGACTTGTGATGTCAAGCCTATGGTTCTGGCAAACAAGAGAGTCAGGATTATAGTTGACATTCGACAATCAGATGCTGTTCGTTGAAGTCTCAAGGACCATCCAATCAATTTTGTCCTAATAAAATTTACAAAATACTAAGCTGTTGGTTGATGAAGATGAACATTGTAAGATGCAAGACGCTACCAAGAATAAGTGGCAAGCATTGGAGTAGCAACACTAAATTTTTTGCCTGGTCCAAAGATTGCCGTCCTTCATACACCAAGATTCAAGAGGATAGGCCAGTACATAAGGGTTGACCTAACAGATAACAGATATTGGAGAAGATGGTATCATAGCCTTCTAATTTTGAACCTAACAACGCATTGGTTATCCTTTTTTATGTTGTGGGGGTGGGGGGTGGGGGGGGGTTGGTTCAAAGAAACTTCCCGCGTTTTCTTTTCTTTTCTATGAATTTTTAACATATTGAAAGAGAGTAAATAATAGCTGTCGATGAGTGAAGCTTCCTCAAATGTCCATTTTGACTTTGTGGATAGGTAATAGAATAAACTCCTAAGAGCAAGATCAATAATGGCGATGGCTGCTGGCGGTAAAAAAGAACACGTCAGCAATGGAGACAGCAAAAAGTTAATACGTACAGCAGCCGGCTATATTCACAAGCTTCAATGGATTTGGTATCTCGCGTCACAGCCTGCTCCCGTCGCCATCTCTTCGTCCTGCTCTTTTCTATTGTTTCTTTCGCCTTGGAGCTCGTGTGCAGTCGGTGATTAATTAGTCGTCCGCTCACACCCTCTCTCCTATCCTGATATCAATAACGCCAGTGTGGATGCATTATCGCCAGCTAAAATGGTTTATTGTACATGCTCTAATGGTTCCTTCAACTGAACATTTTCGCCTGATGCTCCGGCGGCGCTGCCGCTTCACCACCAGCTGGAAAATGTTCAATGGTGAGATCAATGACTGCTTCCTGAGGTAGCTTGCTGCTTCCGGCCCTTGTCCTCGCCAGAACCAAATGACTGCGTTCAGTGAAAATGTGCAACAACCCAGACATTTTGAAAAGATTTTAGCATGAGTATTCATAGGAGCTGGGGCTAAACATCGGATGCGGTGACAAAACCAAAAGTTATCGAAGCCTAAGGCTCAACTAGAACTCAATTGATGAGCTATATGTAGGTTTTCTCCAAATTTTAAGATGGAGGCCGAGGGCTTAAGCCCTACTTGTCTCTGCCCTGATTTGAAAAAAAAGAAGTCTATTTTATATTTCTCAACTATAGCCCGAGTCTATTTTTTTTTCTCCTCAACCATTAAAACCAGGTTGATTTACGATGGTTACCTTATTACATGAAAAAAATAAGTATATTTTATCTTTCTCATGCTATAGCTCGAGTCTTTTTTTTTTCTCCTCAACCATTAAAACCACGTTGATTTACTTAGTCTGCATGTACTGCATATGAGCTTCGGAATCTTGTTAGGGAAGTGCTCTCTTGGCCACCTGCGAGGCTGCGACACCACCAGGTCGCTCTCTCAACAGATTCGTCCCCATGAGACGATCATAAGAAATGATACTGATAATTGCCTATTACTCCTGGACCAGCATTGCTACAACTATCATTTTCTCCTCAGTTGATCAATTGTAGCAAAATTTTGATTTTAAAACTTAATTGTAAAGTTGACTTTAATGTTTTTTTTATTGTGGTTTATTTTCAGCATTATTAGCTCTTAAATCGCTAAAAACACTCACAAATTTTACCAAATTTTTTTTGGCTACTAATAAGCGTCACGACTAAGGATGTGATTGAACAAAAAAAAAGATGAGGATCACCAATTAGTTGACCCGTCGACCAGCGTGATCTACCATCTTCATGTAGAGGGCATTGATATGTCATACAGAAGAAATTGATAAAATTCCAACATTGTTGTCGAGAATGCGTCCATTCTCTTGTGAACCAACACCTGTAAGCACTTCATAGTACTACATAAGTTAGAGCTCATGCAATGGAGTATGTGAAATTCTTATAAAATTCATGAGGTTAATGGATTCTATATGTTTTCCTATTTAAAAGAAGAATTTAAGAGCGATTTTCTTTCATAGAGATTGACGATATGGAAATTCTTGAAGTAAATGTGCTCTTGCCACCCGATATCGTTATCTCTACTGCTTAGTATTTAAAATTTAAAAGCAAAGTCATTCTCCTTCTATCCCCTCCTCGCACATTCTTCCAAGCTTTCGCATCCGCAACCACCACCACCAGCACTTTATCCTCATTCCACTTTCCCAACCATCTCAATCCAATTTCCCAGCCGGTCAGCCCCCATCCATGGTTACATGGGCCTGATCCGTTGCAACGCGTGGGCTACTTTGCGAATCCAATGGCCCATAACACTCTCAGGCCCTAGGCCCATCTAAAACAGTTCGCGTGCAGTCCAGCTCCAGCCCAACTCGACCAGAAACGAACCGCTAATGCCGACCTCGACGATGACGGCGACACCTGGGCGGCTGCCGCGGCCGCAGGGCTCGTCGTCGGCGGTGCCGCGGCCGAGAGGCCTTCCCGGCGTATCCGTGCTCCTCCTCCCCGACAAGGCAATGGACGCCGGAGAGGATATGCCTCCAGTTGCCGAGGAGCCCACGCTGCGTCGTTCCGACAAGGTACGACCCCCGCTGCGAGAAACTCTGGCTTATTCCCGCAGACCTCCTTCCATTCATGATTTCGTGGCTTTGAAATGTGGGGGTTAACGTTAGTTCACCCGATGGACGCTGCGTGGTTTGGTGTGTCTAGATTTAATCGTTAAGGCAGGGCCTATTGCAATTTAGTTGTACGATTGTACCACAATTTTCAGCTCCCGAAACAATGCGTTCATGATGTTTGTTAGAATGCCAAGATGAACCTACACTCGATGTCAAAGATGTGCTTGATAGAAGGACGATGATGAATTGGTGATCAAGGATCAGAAGTGCCGTACTCGTACATCGCCGAGGTTCCATTTTTCTTTTGCATTTCGTCTTGCGACCCTATTGCAAGGGCTGGCGCTCATCATCCTATCTGAGGGAAGTGCTGTTTGGCACGCGGAGTTCAGCAGTCTTATATTTTTGCGGGTGGCAATATTCTTGAACAGATGGCTCAATTAGGTTCAGTTTCAGATGCTCATCTGATGGTTCAGCTTAGAGGCGACTTGTCACCTGCTTTGAGATCTTTTCCCTGGAGAACAGATTTCGATCTGTGCCCTTAAACAAGATATGCATGAGCAATTTACAACAAAAGGAAAAGGGGAAATGATCAATACTGACAACTGTGTCTTTTGGTTATGTGCAAACATTAGGTTACTACCAAGTGCCTGCGAGTTGCGCAGATGGCAAGTTGCCTCTATACACAATCATACGAGAGTAGTTAAGTAATTGCAGATGCAAATGTGCAAAGGATTAAAAAGAACAGAAAACACATACATGTCTACTTGCAGCCACAGAAAATCTAAAATGACTGGAGGATGGATGCAGAACGCATCATCATCTAACGCCTTTTTATAGTAAAGAAAAAACATTAACACAACTAGTGGCTGTATGTCATGCCATTTTCTGCGAAACTTTACCATTTTAAACTTTCAGCTTGAAACTGCTTTATGTAACATCCTGATCCTGAACATAAATATCAATTGTTTAGCTAAAAATGACTTGAACTTGAAATGGGTGCCACTCTTGCACCAAGATTTCTTTCATGCCAAATGAAAATTGAGCTATTTCTTCTAACACTGCTTGTTTGTAAATTTATGTTAGACATCTCTCTTGCTCCAGTTTGTTGTTGTTGTTGGCCACTTTGGCCTGTACTTGCTCCAGGCTGATTATTTTCTTCTTCTCTGTCTCCTTCATTCACTTCTTGTGGCTTGTGATTTTCTTCTAAACCTTCTCCATTTTGGTCAGGTTGCATGCTAGTCATCGACTTTTTCTTTTCATAGTAGTAAATCATTACAGCTATGAGAAGAGAAGAGGTTGAGGCAACTCCAGTAAGTATGAACAGGCCCTTAAAACTGTCAACGTTAAGTTTGTCTGGATCAGACACAGTGCCCACCGCAGAATCCACACTTTTGCAGTCATTTTGGTACCCAATCCATTTGTTCTCAAGTTGCATGATAATGTCCCCCTCTGTTATGCTGAGGATTGCCTTTGAAATGTCTCCAAGTAGAGGAGATCCTTTTGGGAATGCCTGTGTGAGAAAGGTAGATTTTTTGTTAGCTTGTTGGCTCTAATTTGGGGTTATTTCCATGTGATGAGGACTAAAAGCAAGGTGAACTGAACTTAACATATTACATGGTAAATGATAAAATGAACTAGCATAACTAGATAAAATAATCAATTCCATCCTTATTAATTTGTATATAGTATTCTAGAGCAAAATTTATCATCAACTTTAAGTTTGATGTGTTCAGATGTATTATGTTAGCTATTTCTTAATGTATCCAATTTCCCCAAAATTTGGTTGTTCATACGAGCTTGCTATCAAAGGTGATTTCACATTTTCACTCATAAGCTGGCTTTTTCATATTATTCTTTCCCTTAAGAAAACGTATAGTATTTCTCTAGTTTGTACTCCCTCCAGTCATAAATATTTCATGTTTAGGACAATATTTGGTCAAACTTTTGAAACTTTGACCATCAATAATTTCCAAAATCCAAATGCTTATCTTAAAAAGGAAAAAAAATGCCATGTATAGATCTGCCTTGAAAAGTACTACAATAATATCATAAAGTAATTATATTTTGCAAACTCATTCTAATATAAAATTTATGGTCAAAGTTTGAAAAGATTGACAGGATGTTGTCCTAAGTGTCAAATATTCATGACAGGAGGGGCTATATATAATCTACGCAATTGGATACATAGTTTTACATTGCGAATATGCACTGAAAAGCCTAACCAGTTGAATTTGTGTACATTTACACTCAAACCCTATGCTTCAGAGTAATTGGATTGCTCATTGTTTAGCTTGTGTGTTTCTAATTTCCTTGGTATTTCTGTGAAATTGTGGATATAATTAACCTTCCAAATGAAGCTTATTGTATTAGTTCAAATTCGTACCCTCAATTTACACTCAGGCATGAAAGGCAACATGCCAACATCTATAGTTTCACATTTGTATTTCAACATACGAGAGTAACTAATTGACTGAAGAGTTATGTTGCAAACAGGAACATAAATAAAATTACTTACATATCCAAAACCTGCTGTCTTATAAAACGGTCCAACCATAGTGTACTCTTTGCAGTGCTTTGCAAGAAACAATTTGATATATGGGACTTCATGCACGAAGGCAGCAATACCACCGTTATTGCTTCCCTTTGATAGTGCATTGTAAAAATCATCGGGTGTATCATATGCCTTGATCTTAGATGTGTTAAAATTAAGATCTTCCAAAAGGTTTTTGACAAAGGAACCATCGTGGTATCCTATGTTTTCCCCGCTTTTCCGAAGTTCATCAATACTATTTATAGTTGGTTTTAGCTGCTGTACAGTCAACATTGTTGCCAAGTTTGCAGTGTAACCTGATGAAAGTATAAGGAAGAAAAATACCCATACAATCAAAACTATCCGAGATAGGATGCGCTCCACTCTTTCATCTGAAATTTTGATAAAAATATATAGTGTTATCTTCAGTTATACCAAGCAAAAATTCACAAATATAGAATTGCCAAATAAAAATGCTTTTGAACTGAAAGAATTGTAACAAAGAAAATATTCATAAGAAATTCGCTGCAAACTATCTGTAGTTCCAAGAAAAGGACTTTCTCCAAAAAAGTGGTTGTAATTTGCAACGACTTATCAAGGCTTGGTTAAAAGGAATAATCAATTTTCATAATTGTGATTGCCGAGAGAATGGCCAAATTTACGTCTACTTCTAGCTGGTTTCATTTACCAGATGAGCAACACTGCATCTTTTCTCTATCTAGTCAACCATGTGAATACATAAGAAATATTTGTTAAGATATGTTAGCCTTGTTTCTTAGCTTTCTTTCCTTGAACTACTCCCTTATACAGCTATACTTTCCTTCAGTTGATTAGCAAAACTCGTTTCTAACCTGACACCTACTTGCATATAATTCATTTTTCCTTTCCATCCTGTTAGTTTAACAACATTGAGTTCTATCCTGTAATAGTCGTAAAAAAATGAAGTCTTTCATAATAAACTCATGTCAGTGTAAACTCACTGGATACATTATATGTTCTAAACTCCACAATGTAGTCAGTGTAAACTCACTATTCCAATAGAGGTAGTTAGCAATATTTCTTCCAACGGACCTGCCTTTGCTTGGCCATAGTTTTATTCACTCCTAGGACCAGCAGGCACAAATCTGTTTTGAATTCTCTCTGCCCATTGTGCCCAGCTATGCATCTTTTAAGTATTTTAAGATGCACGCATGTAACTAGCATTTGTTTCTTTCAAGGCTCATAAGCTTGCATCATGCAAGACATGCATGTAGAACCATTCAAGAAACTAAACTACCAGATTCATGTTTCCTAGCAAACAAGGTAGGTTTGTTAAATGCACTGGTAATACCAAATGATTTTTAGTGCAGATCAGTCAGCTCGATATTTTATCCACTATTTTACACTCCTCTTTTGTAAATAACTGAGGTGCTGGGATAAGTGTACTCAACTATCTCCAAATAGGGAGAAGAATATCGCAATCCCAATCTTCCTGGGAATTGGTTCACGAACATTTCTTTTGTTGCCTAGAAGTTCCAATAACCATACAACACATCCTGTGTAGAAAAACATTGATATGGTTGCAACCCACAGATCACGTGATAGTGGCTGCAGGAAAATCCATGTTTTATCTACTGTGCCCTTGGATGGAACGATCATTGCCACTCCTGATTCTGTGTATGGTACAGTGAAGTCAACATAGGCCATTCTGCTATGCCTGATTGTTATATCTCCAATTGCCACATCATATTTCTGCAAGGACACCAAAGAGAATAGTTTTACTGATCAAGCAAAAAAAAAATCTTAGTACAAATTATCTAAGAATTCTTTAATTTCTTTTTAATATATGTTTTTACTATTTTTGAGGAACAAATAGGTACTCTGATTAACTGAGAAGAGCACCTAATTATATCATATAATATTCCTATGTGCAGTTGTCGTATGTACTCTTGACATATATCATGAATTGCAGTTTGCTTACAAACTGTATGCTGAACAGCTGAAGCATTACTGATCTTTTTTTTTTTTACCAAACAGCATTAATGATCTTAGCACCTTAAGATAAACTTGGTGAACAAAGTCATCATAACTTCCAGTACTTGTATCCCGGCTTGTGTCAAATGCTACATATTCATAAGGTAGCGCAAAAGGGAGTCTTTTTACTGCCTCTTCAAATATGTCAATTGAGAAGCCACTTGCTTTAGTTGCACCTGTGATGGGATCTCTTTGATTCGTCATATATTCCTTGTATGCACTTTTGTGTACTCCAACCTGAAGCTTCTTTCCACTTGCAGGGATTTCCCATCCTTTGGGAATTTCTGTCGATTTCCCTGGCCAAATCACAGGGTTTAAGTCCAAAACTGAGTCCGCATACTTTGTTGTTGATTTTCCAAGATTTAACTGTCGTAAAATACCATTTCCTTCATTCCAAAATCCAATATCTTTCCACCCTTTCCCAAATACATTTATTATTCTAAATGTGGAGACTTGCAGCTGCCTGTTTGAAAGGTCAAAATAGCCACTCTTACCCCTGAATTTATTTCTCAAGATGACCTTTAGGAGTTCTGGGCCATATACAGAAGTTTCCATGTTTTCCAAGCTTGTTGAGTTTCTTGCAACTGATGGTTTTTGAATTGATGTTCTGTTGTTAACCCCAACATTTTCAACTGCTTGGGCAACTGCCCATATAGTATCATAGCCCCACAGTCCAAATATACTTAGTTTTAATGGTGGATCATTTGGGTTGTCGATTTGAAATCTTCTGTTCCATCCTATGGTGAAGCTATCAAGTTCTGAGTTATTAACATAAAACTGGATACCCAAGGCACCATTCATTGCCTCCACAACTGAAGTGCTCATGGAGTCCACGATATTGGTTATTCCATCTGTCATGATCCACACAAATCCTTTGCTCATCATACCAACCTCTTTTGCCTTTGTGAAGAGAGATGCAGCCAAAGTAGATGACATGTGCACAATAAAGACCCTTGTTTGCATTGTCATAAGCTTATATAATTCTTGGCTAATTTCTTCACTAGTTACTGACAGGGGGATAACACTCCGATAGGGAACACGTGCATCAATGTCTTGGAGAGCATCTACAAGATATGGTATGATACCTCTACCATAGTCAGTGTCTTCATAAATTGGCACTACCTCTCTCCAGCCATAGGTCTTGATTAGGCAGGCAATACTTTGCACTTGTGCTGAGTCATTCAGTGTTGCACGAACGAAATATGGAAGACTGGCAGAGTAAAGAGATGGGCTTGTTGCTGTGAAGGATATTACAGGGACCTGACTTCTATTTCCAAGATCTGATACAAATGAAGCTTGTGAGGATGTCTGAGGGCCTATGATAATTTGTACATTGTGATTCTCCAGAAGATCAAGAGCTGCAGCATAGATCAACAAGTTGTAATTAATGATCATACAAGCAGGAAAAATTGCTGATCCCCTAAAAATAAAAGAAAGAAATTCCTGGGTTAGAGTGGCAATGCATTATTGCATTTCAGATGTTCTTGAGCCATTGAGTGTTGCATGCACAAAAATATTTAAGGCAGCTGGAAGATTGTGATGGGCTGGTTGTCGTGAAGGAAAGATTGGCCTAGAAATTTTATTTTAGTGATCTTGAGATAAATACAGGTCGTGAAGTTCTCTGGGATCACTACATTAGTATTACGGTTCTCGATCAGATCAAGGACTGCAGAATTGCATACTCATTTTAACTTTGGTCAAATATCGTATGGAGAAATCTGAAATACTTGGCATCAAATCTTTGGTCCAGGAACATGACAATCTTCTCCCTCAAGGAAAAGGTAACATAACAGCTACAGATTCAGGGCTGACAAAAGCATCACATATCTTGCACATGTTGCCAAACTATATCACCTAATACCTGTAATGAACAAGAGCAATTTACTCATGACAGAAGCCCAAAACTCATGGGCTTGAGATGCAGTTTAGACATAATCACTCATGGAAACCCAAATTATTTTGCTGACCAAGGAATTCATGTGCTCTTTGTCTAGTGAAATTTTGGGTGGCCGTAAAGTTAATTGACGTCAAGAGGAGCAGGATAGTTCCATGGTATGATGTCTACATCTGCTTGAAGTTTGATTCTGGATGTTATTCAGAGTTTAGTAAAATCATGAGTTTGCTTTATTGTGCACAGAATGAAACATTACATTGAACTTACCAATTTGTTTAAAAAGAATTTGATTAAGTACTAGGTATTCGAGGGTCCACTAGTTTACAACCTTTCGATGTTCTGTTAATTTGTTGGTAGTTAAATTATTTCTTTCGAACCATGCATTGATATCCAATTATTCATGTACAACAACTAAGGCTGATTGACCCCATTAAAAAAGTGTAGGTACATTGAAACTCATTTGCTTCCTTTTGGATGCTGAGCATCCCTGAACCATCAAGTTTTCTCAAAGTCAGTAACTTGTAATTCAATCTTTCTGTTGGTTAATATGAATGACTGAATGTTGACTTGAATGGTCAGTTATATGATACCACATTGTAGTATATGTTTTCTCAGTTGGTATTTGATATTATCATTCTCCGTTCTTGTCAGCTGAATGCATGGCTTCAGCTTTGGGAATAAGAAGTCCTGTAGACTGATCCCCAACCAGTGTGAAATTTGTCTGTTGTTGGTGCAAAGAAAAAATCAGAAGCAAACAGTGGTAGGTTCCTCTCAATTATGACTTACTTTATTTTGAACAGGGATCTCTTATCTTTCTTAATTCAAGATTAATACTGAATCTACTAGATTAAGAAACAATTTAAATGGTGGGCAGCCCTGCTAGTGCAAGAGAATGGATACGGGTTACTTATTTGCTAAGTTGCATCTATGGTAGGCCCTAAAACAGAGAAGGTCCATGGGTACTCATGAAACCTCCAATTTGCAGAACATAACTTAAAATTTAATTTGCATGCATTGACATTTGAACCAAGTTACTTTAAACTATATAGTAACTAGCTGGCTAATATGTTGACAATTGAACAACAAAACCTCTTGGTGTTTGGTCTAGGGGGAGGTTTGTCCATGAGTACAGCCTCATCTAACAACCGATCTGGAACTAATGCAACACTATTTAATACTACAACGCTTGTACCTATTGGTACTAGCTGATTTGACATTTGGGCATGAACTGCTAAAATATATATAGTGTTACTGTGTAAGAACATGCAAGATATAATAGATTGTGGAGTATAATGTAATTTATCCAATTGTGCAATTAGCTGAATGATTTTATGAAAAGGCCATACGTACTAGGAGAAATTTTGTCATACATAGATTCTTGAAGAAAAGGACTTCTGTGGAATATGTTATCTTGCAGCTGCATGTTTTGAAGAAAACTAGTGACTGAGGGTGTGTTTAGTTCACGCCAAAATTAGAAGTTTGGTTGAAATTAGAACGATGTGATGGAAAAGTTGAAAGTTTGTGTGTGTAGGAAAATTTTGATGTGATGGAAAAGTTGGAAGTTTGAAGAAAAAGTTTCGAACTAAACTCGGCCTGAAAATGAATCTTGGAGGCAGCACAACAGTAAAACATCTATTCATCGCCACAAAAAATAGTAGAAAATAAAAACATCCATATTGCTACAAGATTGTACCACAAGACTTCAGAACATTTACCTGCTGATGCAGCCTGGACATTATTACTTCCAGAATCCCTGATGTGGAGAACTATCTTTGTGCTGTAGTTTGTGTGTGCCGCGTAGAAATCATCCAGCGCCATCAAAATACTGGTCCGTGCTATTTTCCCCACCATTGTTTGAAGGTCAAGGATCACTCCAACTGGGAACCCATCTACTACCCCAGTTTTGTTAGCATTTTGGGCTACAGTGAAATGGACAAGGAGTAACAGGAACAGTATGGTTTGAGGTGCTCTCTCCATTACCAGTGCTGTGGCTGTGGAATGTTTGTGAAAGACTTTGCCTCCCAAGGCCTTACACTCTTATAAGGCTAGGGGCTTGAGGAATTCAAACAGTAAGGCTAGCTTAATTTAAACTTTACGCGTGAAATAATGTAGTGCCATAGGTGTTATTTTACTCTATTTCAGTTGTATTTTTGGAACCCTTGAAGGTCAAATGATGTGTCCATAGCCATGCAGTGCACCATTATGCAGCTCTGCATTTCTGCAAGCTACTGACAGTACTACAGCACTAAGCAATAGGCAATAGTTACTTGCACAGATGCAAGCAATCTTTCGTTAGATCAATTGAGACTTTGAGAGAGTAGCAGTTGTTTATGTAAGTTTCAAAGCAGTTGCCTTCTTTCCTGAAGAAACTGATTTGTGCAGGAGGTTTCTGTAGCTTATTTAAAAGCCAATTGATGGGATCCTTCCGGAACTGCTTTCAGTTCATAAACTAATGGTTTTGACAATGGGGGTTTGTCCTCAGTGAAATGCGCGTGTTGACATCGCAGAAGAGGATGTTTGCGAGCTTATTTTGAGCAGTAAATGCTTCGAGTGAAATGTTGTAAGATTGCTGTCGAGAGAATTGGGCAGTACTTCTAACTAGGACCGTGTTTAGATTTTAACTTTTTTCTTTAAACTATTAACTTTTTCGTCACATCAAATGTTTTGACATATGTATGGAGCATCAAATGTGGATGAAAAAAACCAATTGCACAGTCCGACTATAAATTGCGAGACGAATCTTGAGCCTAATTACGCCATGATTTGACAATGTGATGCTACAGTAAACATTGCTAATGATGGATTAATTAGGCTTAATAAATTTGTCTCGCAGTTTACATGCGGAATCTGTAATTGTTTTTGTTATTAGTCTACGTTTAATATTTCAAATATGTGTCCGTATAATTAAAAAAAAATTGGCACACTAATTAAACACAGCCTAGGTAAATCATTTTTGCCGGGTCGGCCAAACCAGATTGTATCCAGGAGAGAGAAATGTACAGAGTTTACATTATCGACAATATACTGTCTAGACGGGACAACGGTCCGATGATCGCTGCCCCCGAAAAACAAAGCAAAACGCTGCTAAGCTATCTGTGAAGTACTACTGCACGACATCCTGTCTTTTTTTTTTTAGACCATGCACGACATCCTGTCTAAGCATCAACTTACAGGATACTTATCCTTTCTTTCGCGGCTCCCTATTCCTCCTTCATTCACTCTTATCTTTCCCCACATACTCCTCTCTTTCTCCTCTCATGCTATGCTCCCCATCTCCTCCTTCCCCTAGCTCCTTTTCCCTCCCAATAACTCATGTTCCTCTTCTTTCTTCTAGCTGTGAGGAATCTTCTCCACGGACAGGTTTGGCAACATGAAGCGGGCTACTAGTGCCATTTCTAGTAGGGATACAAGCGGGGCGGGCAAGCAGGTTTTTTAGCCTAGGCCTAGGCCTCCCCTGCTACTCCTCTGGATCTAGCGGCAAGAGCGGTGGACAGCTTCAGTCTTGTGGCCTCTTTCTTTGTCTCATGCTCTAAGACATGTCAGCGCCCACTAGAAGGGGCAACTAGGTAAAAGAGAGGCTGTCGAGGAGGATGCCGACCGGCATGTGCTCCTCTTCTTAGGCGTATTGTCGAAGGTGATGGAAAGAGAAGGCCAATGAAGCTGTTAGATCTGGAGGCAACAATGTGGTTGGTGAAGTCATCATGCTCCTCGTCTAGGAGTGGGAAAAAAAGACCGAACTTAAAAGACCGAGACCGAAAAATTCGGTCCGAGGTAGTGAAAGACCGAATTTTATTTGATCAATTCGGTTAGTCTCCTCGTTAACCGAAAAGACCGAATTAACAAAAGAAATGTCCAAATGCAACCTACAAATCTACTAAGTTCAATAGGATTAAACTCTAATTTTCATATCCCTGCTACTTCTAGGCATGCAACCCGATAAGAGTCTTTACTTATATGTGCTTACGATTTTTTTTTGGATTTTTGTGTTGAAAATTTCTATGATTTCTTTGCATATATGAAAATGTTGCTGAATTTCGGTCAGGACCGAGCCTGAGACCGAATTGCCGGTCCTAATATTTTTCCGTTGAAATTCGATTTTTACTTTTCATTGACCGAACTGACCAAAAGATCGAAGACCTATACCAAAATTTTCGGTCTGACCGAATACCACCCCTATCCTCGTCAGCATTGTGTGCAGGTACATCATGCGATGTGCCATCCTCGGTTGGTAACCATAGGTACTCAACGGCTAATACCTATATGTACAAGCTTGGTACATGAGGGTACCATGGCTGGTACGGAGGGTACCCGCTGATATCCCATTGATACCAAGTATTAGGTATCAAGGCACGGTAAGAGGTTATATGGTGCTGCTGCTCAGTCGATCGGCGAGCCATCTACCAGAGCCTCGTCTCCTCCTCTCAATTCCACTCCTTCCGTTTGGCTCCAACTTTTGCTCCCTACGGTGTTTGCTACAGGCATCGCCCTGCTACTGTGATGACCTGTACTAGCACCTCCTAGTGTCCCAGCCAATACGGCCAAACATCTTTTGCTAGCGCCTCGCCATGCTTCTCCACTAGTTGATGATTCTACTCAAGGTGCGGGGCACGAGCATACGGCATGGGGTGGGACATAGGCGTGGACTCGTGAGTATGAAGTGGAGGCGCGAATGACATCAGCATATAAAGTATCTTGTAGTTGGGACGGAATACCATGCTCTAGCAATTTTCAAACTCTCTACTCATATTGTTGGGGGAATACTAGCTTCTAATATTTATTAACGCATTGCAAATGTGCGCGCGCCATGAAGAACATGCCATAGGAAATACTTTTGAGTATATTCCACCCACTATGAATGTCCATCTAATGGAATCCTTCGCATCCCCTTATAGCCCGATGTCTTGGACCACGTCCCTAAGTTGGAAATACTCTAGCAGAGCCTTGTTGGATAAGCTTCCACAGAGGTCGTGTTCGGTGCTACACCAGGTCATTTGCAACTAGGTAAATTTTGATCGTCCATCTTATTTAAAATTTATTTATGATTAGTATTTTTATTGTTATTAGATGATAAAATATGAATAGTACTTTATGCGTGACTTATGTTTTTTATTTTTTTAAAAAAGTAATTAAATAAGACGGATGATTAAAGTTGAACGCTGATACGTAATCTGAGGGGCCACGTGAAGAACTACGGACCCTTCTCTCTCTCTCTGACCAGTGGGACCGTCTTGTCGGTGTGATAACTGGATAGGCATGGATTCCCAGTCCCCACCCGCTGTCCGGCGAAGCGCCGCCCCCGGCGATGAGAGCGACGCCGACGGCGGGCGGCGGAGACGACGGAGAGGGAGGGAGGGTTTCGAGAGGAGCGCTGCGGAGAACATGGCTGATACTGGAATCTCGCCGCATCCGTTCCGTCGAAAGCATTCGCCAGATCTCGCCGCGCCCCGTCCTCTCTCCTCTCCCTCCTTATGCCGCCCGCATCTCCGCCTTGTGTCTCCTCCTGACGCCAGCGGGACGGCGGAGAAGAATCGGTATGCGACGGGGCAGTCCGTGCCGGACGCGGCCGCTCTCCGGAGGTGGAGGAGGGGCTGTCGGTTGCTCGCGAATGGGAGTGGAAGAGAAGCAGCAATGCGATTTGCAGTTCAGGTGGTACACTATCTATAGCTCTAGCTATGAGATTAATGTGGATGCAACCTGAACCAATCGTGTCTCTTTTTTACGGCATGTATCATCCATGCTCTGGACATGTTTGTTGATTTGCTTGTTTATATCTGTTTAGTAGTAGTAGTAATATATGCTAGCTCGACAGAGATGTCAGAAGTCACAGAATCTATATACAGATTAAGTCAAAACTTTGCTCCAGAAGCTTCCTGGACTGCATTGTTGTGTATTAGTACTTAATTGTTAGATTAGATGGTTTGTGTCCATTTAGTGCCTGAGCTGTGTGGATTTTCAGTTGACACTCCATTGGATAATTAATTGGTTTCTGTTTGCACAGACATGCGGATGCGGACATAATGTGGGGTGCAAACATAAGGTGACCAGGCTCGATATTGTTGAGACATGAAAAGCTGAATTAGCCGAGTTACCATTCCTCTATTAGCCGTTTCTCGATGTTCTGTGAGATGCAATATCCTGACTTGTTTGGATCCCTGAAGCTGGGCTTATCTCTATGGATATTTCTCCCTCTTGTTGGCAGGTATATTCATTTGAATCATCTGGCACTGTCAGTTGCAGGTTCTGGACCTGGTTGGAGTCTATTGTCCTTTCTTGATTTTGTTCATTTATTGTCTCTCTTTCATATTCTTTCTGAGTCTGCCCACGACGTATGCTGTCCCTTATCCTGTGCTTATTCTTGTAGAGAGTCATCATCAGGGCTATTAAAAGGGCTGAGGTTGAAGCAACTCCTGTGACTAGAAAAAGTCCTGAAAAGCTGTTGAAGTTTAGACTGCTTGAGCCGATCATGGTGCCATCATTCTGACAGGCATGCTGGTCCTCAATCCATTTCTTTTCTATATGAATTATAGAATCTCCCTCTGTTATGTTGAGGATTGCCCTTGAGAAGTCATAAACTAGTGGGGATCGTTTGGGAAATGCCTACACAAGAAGTTGAACTGATTCAGTTATGTACAAACTGATAGGTAATGAATCGCTTGCTCATCAGAAAAACAGCAAATGCACACTCAACTATAGGTCTGAAATATAGCTAATATTATTTTAAAGGTGAACATTCTAGGATTCTCCATAATACAAGAAAAATATGTTTAAGACAAATAAATTGGTGTCTGAAATAGAGCTAAATAAATTGCATGGTACATATGTGCAGTTAGTGTTACCAAAGACATGCCTATGCACTGTGGTTTAAAGTTTTTCTCCATGAACTAAAGTTACCACACAAGTAGGGGCAATATCAAACAAGAGAAATTTATTCAATGAAAAAAAAGGAAAATTGTCCACAGCAGTGTTATAGAACGCCTGTTTTAAATTCGACTGGCATTGCAAGGAACAGAAAAACACCAAGGATAATAGCCTTCCTATGTTATCTTTTTGAGAAAAGAATTATTTTCTTGTCCTTGTATTGATAAGATCACAAATATGAAACTTTGTATTGATAATACATCAAAACGCTGCTTATACTTTTTTGAGTGAATTGCTCTTTGGGCCACCCTTTACTTAATCTTCTCACTTTGGACTAGGTATTTTTGTCATTTTTTCATTTTGGACCACTCAAACTCTCTTCGTGATCACATCAACAGCCTCAAGCACATCGGCACCCTCATTCCGATGGTCTCCCCTTTTACGTTCAGCTCACATCTTTGCTGGAGGAGAGGTTGGCTAGAAAAAAGAGTTAGGGTGGTCCAAAGTGAAACAAAGGGGAAAAAAAACCTAGTCCAAAGTAAAAAAGATTGGATAGAGGGTGGTCGGAAGTGAAACTTCGGTAATTCTTGTTTTTACTCAGAACTATTTGAGCACATAAAATAATTTTCGAGGTTACATCCTCCATGGCAATTCAATTTGCAACAAGAAGAAATGTGAGTTAATCACAAATTACTACAAATCATAAGTACGTACCGCGTACAACATTATCCAACAGTGAATGTTACTCACTATAGGCGGCTAGCAGAACAAAAGAGTTACAGTATGACTTTACTAGTCACAGACTGCTTATTGTAGTAAATGATTATGGAGAATGATGGGTTCCATACCACGAATAGCTCTGTTAGAGTCCCAGGTTTGTTATTATCTTAAATTTATTATGTGTGCCTCTGTCTCCAAATGTTCTGTATGTTTTGATAAGTATGAGCAGCTCTCGAACATATATTTACAAGGATTTTTGTACTTTAGAGGTATGTTCTGTGCAAAGAAATATTTAGCAGTTTAACTTACAAAGCCAAAGCCTTCAGATTTGTAAATTGGTCCGACCATTGTGTACCCTTTGCAATGCTTTGCAAGAAATATTTTGATGTATGGAACTTCATGTACGACTGCTGCAATACCTCCATTTTGGCTCCCTTTAGCAAGTGCATCAGCAAACTCATCTGGATTTTCATATGCCCTCATTTTCGTCCTGTCAAAACCAAGTCCTTCTAGTAAATCGGACAAATAAGAGCCATTACGATACCCTACATATTCTCCACTTTTAAGGAGTTCATGAATGTCAGTCACGGTAGGTTGAAGCTGTTGCACCGTTAGCATTGAAGATAAATTGGCTGTATAGCTTGATGTAATCACAAGAAGCACAAAGACCCATACGATGACAACCAATCTAGACAAAATACTGTCCACCCTTTCCCCTGCAAAATGACAAACCTTCATTTTTTAGAAATTCAAATAAACATTAATGCTGAATTTACTCTTAGTACAGCGTATCTTTTGTTAGTTAAAGACTGAGATTGCAGAATAAAATTATTTTTGTCAGCTCTTTTTCGCTCTAATTTTGTAGTGATAGTTCAGGTTTATCTTGCCTTTAACCCCAGTAGAATCTGTCACCAAGAAATTCCTAAATCACAGAATTAAATGTCAAAAATGTAGTATTTTGCATGTAAATAAGAAAACCTAATATAATCACTTACTATCTGCAAAGAATGAGAAATATATTGCAATCCCAAGCTGGCGAAAAAATGAACCAGTCAGTTCAGCATTGTTAATTCTTCGCTCCAACAGCCATATTACAACTGCTGTGTAGATGAAGAAAGCAATGCTTCCAAACCACAAGCCAGTAGTTAATGGCTTCAAGAAAACCCATGTATTCTTATCCCTGTCGTCCTTAACTGGCACAATCATTGCCACCCCTGATTCAGTATAAGGTAGTGTGAAATCGACATATGAAGTTCTATTGTACCTGATGGTTATATCCCCAATTGCTGCATCATATACCTGCAATGCCTTTTCTTTTTTAACTTCAGTTACTCTATGATGATTTGGGAAAATCATAGAAAAATGGCAATAGTTACACCGTGCCAATCTATCCTTATCTGATGAAAGACTTTTTACTCCCCTTGAGGGGATACCAAGAAGTTCCACACTAGACAACATAGACAGACTTAATCTGAAAGGAACAGTACTGCAATCTATGCTTGAGCATACATCTAATCAATCTGTACTTATTATACATAAAACAAGGAAAAGTTACTCCCTTAGTTTTCACATAGTTTGCTCATTTTTTTTGTATACCCATCTACTATAAGTTTCATTTCAGAATGTGAATTGTTAAGTTTAAAAACTCTGACCACTAATACACACAAAATAATTTAGATTTGTTAAAGGGAATGCTATAGTAGACTTTTTGTCAAAAGCACTTTCACATCATTATGTTTTATATATTATTGACAAACATATAACTAAAAAAAATTAGCAAAAGCAAGGGAATAACTAAATTATCTTGATTAAAATTTTCATGTGGGTATACCAATCTATAGAACAGTTTTTGACAAAGTGAGAACCAAAATTCCTTACCCCAAGATGAACTTGGTAGACAAAATCATTATAGCTCCCAGAGTTTACTCCTTGTCCGTCATCAAATGCTACATATTCATAAGGTATTGCATACGGAAGTCTCTTTAACGCCTCTTCAAATACATCGATTGCATATCCAGAAGCAGTTATTTCATTGGTGGCAGTATTCCTTTCCACCTTCATAAACTCGGGATATCCACTTGTCCGTACACCTACACGGAGCTTCTTTCCATTAGTGGGAATTTGCCATCCTTTAGGCACCGTATATACTTCTCCTGGCCACATCACTCGATTAAGACCAGGCATAGAGTTCACGTTTGTTGTTTTTGATATATTTTCGTTTATTTGCCTGAATATTCCATGCTTTGTTATCCAAAAGCCTATTTCTTTTGACCTGCCTCCAACCACATTAATTATCTGGAATGTGGAAAATTCCAGCTGCCTGTTTCCAAGGTCAAATTCACCACTTAGGCCTTGAAACTTACTATGTAAGATCGAGTCTAAGAGTTCTGGACCAATTGTAGAAATTCCCAGAGTTCCCAAACTTGTTGAGTTCTTTCCGTCTTTCTGCTTTCGAAATATAGCATCAGCCATTCTTACTTTTTCTGCTGCCTGTGCTAAGGCCCAGATAGTATCATAACCCCAAAGACCGAAAGTGCTTAGTTGTGATGGTGGATCATTTGGGTTGTCTTCTTTGAACCTCTTATTCCATCTTGTAGTGAAGTCATCAAGTTCCTTTGATGCAGGCACATAGAACCTGACACCAATTGCACCATTCATTTTCTCTAGAATTGAAGTGTTTAGAGAATTAACAATATTTGAAATGCCATCTGTCAAAATCCATGCATAATCTTCGCTCATCATTCCTAAGTCCTTAGCCTTTGCGAAGAGAATGGAGGCAATGTTCAATGACATATGAACAACATAGACTCTAGTCTGCATTGTCATTAGCTTGTAGAGTTCTCTCTCAAGTTGGTCAGTAGTTGCTGATTCAGATATTGCACTGCGATATGGCATAAAAGCTCCAAATTCTTGGAGAGCATCAGCCAGGTATGGTATGATGCCCCTACCATAGTCCGTATCCTCATAAATGGGTACCACTTCCCTCCAGTCATATGCCTTAATGAGAGCAGCAATGGTATTCACTTGAGCAACATCACTTAACGTTCCACGCAAAAAATATGGCACATTGATGGATGAAAGAGCAGGGTTTGTTGCTGTGAAGGAGATTACTGGGACTTGGCTCTTGTTCCCAAGATTAGACACAAACGTAACCTCTGAAGATTTTTGTGGGCCAACGATAGCTCTCACGTTGTAATTTTCCAGCAGGTCAATTGCTTTGCAATGGAATAGGAAATCAGTTAATTTGAAGAACATGTAAGACGTGCATACATTGTGGTTGCACACATAAGAATCTTAGTGCAACTTGAGGTGTTAGGCAGCTGGAAGTAGCGGTGTTATAACTTAGAATATAATGGCTAGGCTGTATAATCACCTCTTATTAGGTGTTCATCACGACATTGGGCACATCAGAGCAAAATAGTGAGCTCATTCTACATAGCATAGCTATATTTGATACGGAGCTCTCTTTTTGCTCCAAAATTGAAGGAGTTGCTAAAGATAGAGAAGACTACACAAAGGTTGTATTTTTAAAATACAATGGCAAAAACTTAAATTCGATAAGACAAGTGTGAACTGTGAAGACACTGGATTTTAACCTGCATACAGATCTGTGGAGGTGTCACGGGATTCTAGTTTTTTATTTTGCTTAAAATTTTCATTTTTAGGATTAAGTTCTAAATGCACATAATGCTTTGAAGATTTGCAGCAATTGTAGAAAAGAGAAACGCGAAAATAAAAACTGTATAAATGAAAAACATGTGTTTCAGTGCCTTTTTTGTATCATTTTCCCTCCATTACATTTAAATATAATGAAATTGAAGTTCTAAAATTTGTGAAGTTCCCTTAACTTCAAAGAAATAACTATTGCATAGGATCTTGCCACATTATGATGCGATGATGACCCAAACTTTGATGATTTTTAGTGACAGCTTACAATTGTATAACGTACCTTCTGATGCAGCTTGGACATCATCTCCATTGGAATCTCTAATGTGGAGAACCAGCTTTGTCTTGAAGTTCCTGTGGACCGAGTAGAAATCTTCGACAGCCATCAAAACGCTGGTACGTGCTATTTTGCCCACCAGCGACTTCAGGTGGAGGATCACCCCAACATCCAGTGTGCCTGCTCCATTTTTGGTGATATTTTGAGCAACTGTCAGACTGAGGAACAAGAATAAGAATGCAGCCCTCCCAACTGCTCTCCCCATCCCGGATGGTTCTACTGGTTACTGAATGTATGGTGCTATGCAGTCTTATAGCACTGAATTTTCATTGTTCTGCTTTGGTCAAATTGCATTATAGTATTCTTTGTCTCTGAATTGAAAATTTAACCTTCCTTCTGGCTATCTACTGCTATTTCTTTGGTAAGAAGCTAAACGTTCTGTTTGTAAGTATAAAAAGATATGTTTCTGGATAGCTCCGTGTTAAGGTGACGACTTTGGGAATTCAAGAAAAATCTGGGTTGCAAGTTGCAGACGCGGGAAGAATGAGCTGGCATGTTGTGTAAGTCAAGGACTCGCCTTTTACAATTGACATGGTTGTAGGTTTTGAATCTTCAACTCTGCTGGCTTTGCTTGCTTGCTCCTGGTATGTTGCATGTGCATTACTCTCTGAGTTTTCAAATAGTACTTAGGCCCTGTTTAGTTACCACGCAAAAATTTTTCATCATATCACATCAAATGTTTAGACACATGTATGGAGTATTAAATATAGACAAAAAAAAATTAATTACACAGATTGCGTGTAAATTGCGAGATGAATCTTTTAAGCTTAATTGCTACATGATTTGACAATACAGTGCTAAGTAAACATTTGCTAATGACGGATTAATTAGGCTTAATAAATTCGTCTCGTAGTTTACGGGCGGAATCTGTAATTTGTTTTGTTATTAGTATACGTTTAATACTTTAAATGTGTGTCCGTATATTCGATGTGACACGCTAAAACTTTTTACCTCTAGATCTAAACACAGCCTTAGTTCTGTTAGTGGTCAATTATTTTGAAATGATTATATTATGACAAATGAAAGTTACTATCTCCATCCTAAAATACACTCCCCCCGTTTCATATTGTAAGACTTTTTAGTCTTACCTAGATATATCCATTGATCAATGTATATGTTTTGTATATGTGTCTAGATTCATTAACATCTTTATGAATTTAGACAATGCTAGAAAATCTTACATTGTGGAACGGAGGAAGTAGTAAATTTTAACTATGTATCTCAACATATCTTTATCCAAATATATTATTAGAAGTTATTATATTTATATTTTAGGATGGAGAGAATATATGGTTATGTTTATGATACACCGCACTATGATAATATGGCCTTTGTTTAGGTATTTACAAATTATTATAAAAGGGAGTATTCAAAATTTAAGAATAAAGTATGAACAAGTATTTAATAGAAAGCGAGATCGGAAGATTTTATTTGTAGAGCCTATGTGCTCCGGGCGTTGCCGATCAACTTTACTACTACTGTGTACTCCCTCCGTCCCCTAATATAAGCGATTTTGACATTTTGCTTGCACTGTTTGACTACTCGTCTTATTAAAAAAATTTAGAATTATTATTCATTTTATTTGTGACTTACTTTATTATTCAAAGTATTTTAAGCAGAACTTTTCGTTTTTTATATTTGCACAACTTTTTTTAAAATAAGACGAGTGGTCAAACGTTAAAAAAATATAGTGAATATCTCTTATATTAGGGGACGGAGGTAGTATACAATTTACCTAGTCAGCTCCTCTTATAAAAGAACGCTATAGAGCCATTGGTCATTGCCTGTTGCTGTGTGCAGTATGTCAGTAGCAATTTTTATCTTTTAAAAAGTACACGAGAGATTCCTTCAAGAATGACATTTCTGAAAATAATCTCATATGGTATTGTAATTTATGGACGCAGCAGTGCAGCAAAGCAAATCAGTGCATGGGACTTCCTGCTGCAAAGCAAATCAATGCATGGGACTTCCTTGCGATGCCAAGTGTATATTCTGACAAACAATTAAAATAGTCGGGAATTGTTAGATTCAGTTGACATTCGACTGCCAGATGCTGTTCCTTGAAGTCTCAAGGACCATCCAGTATCAATATTTATCCAAAAAGAATCTACAAACTGTAAAAGATGCAGGACAGGACGATAGCATGAATAAAGTGAAGATCACTGGAGTAGCAACGCTTATAAAATCCTCGTTTGGAAGAAGCTAGTCTGACGTACGTTGCTGGCATGTGGAAGATTAGTTCAGAATTAAAGGTTTGAACCAGTAATAGTAGATAAGATGAGCTAATTGTACATTTATCCTTTATTTTTGAGAAATTGTACATTTTGCTATGGACTGGCAACCGGTTCTATAAATTATCATCGACGAATATGAATACTATAAAATGTCATTACGCAACGTTTTTTTCCTTTTTTGTTCCCATTGCTATGAGGTTTCCATCGCTAGAACACTGTTTTTGTAAGTAAATTCCACAAACCATATATATTATGAACTAAGTTACATAAAACCATTTGAATTTCGACATGTGGCACATAACTCTCATAACTCTGGGTGTTATGGTCTTAAAGTTTTACAAAATCACACCGTCAATTGTTTTGGCATACTATCATATCAAAATTTTTAAAAGTGGATGTAACATTTGTATAAATAGTGGCTAAAATCCTCACAAATTTTTTAGAACTAAAAAAGTGTGACAAAATAAGTCAAAATAATCAACCGTGCAGTTTTGTGAAACTTTAGAACTACAATACTAAGATTATGTGCTACATGTCAAAACATCTATAGTTTATAGTTTCGTGAAACTTTGATTTTTTTTATAAGCCGCCACCTCACCTCACATCGTCCACTCTCCTCAAATACTTTGTGAAACATCTTTGACTTTTTTTTCTTGATTAAGTTTATAAAAAAATAGCAATATCTATAACACCAAATTAGTTTAAATAAATACAACATTGAATATATTTTGATAATATATCTATTTTGTGTTAAAAGTATTTACTATATTTTTTTATAAACTTAATCAAACTTAAAAAAAATCAAAACGGCATATAAACGGAGTGAGTACTACAAAACTACAACTATTTTGTAATAAATTTTGAATCCTATAACTATTTTAAACTGAGATAGTAATGAGAACTAAAGTTCAATATAAAATACGTCTCGTCACAGTTTTTTTTTTCATGAGCCGCCGCCTCACCTCACCTCGTCCCTTCTCCTCCTCCACCGTCGCGCACGCGCGGGGGGTGGGGGGGGGGGGCTTCCGGAATCTAGAGGCCGGTGTTTCAGGGGCTGTTTGGTTGCTTGACAAACATTGCCACACTATAGTTAGGCAAGTTTAACTTTGTGGTGTAAATGTTAGGTTGAAGCTAAAGGTATAGCATATGCCACACTTTTCTACTCTTATTACCCATACGTCATGCACTCACTTGTTAACAAAAATTTGTCACAAGTGTGGCTCTTTTTTTTACGCCACATAAACTATGACATGCCACACTTGTGGCATACTCCCTCCATCCAAAAAAAAAGACAAACCCTGATTTCCGTGCCCAACGTTTGACCGTCCGTCTTATTTGAAAAAATTATGAAAATAATAAAAAGACAAGTCACGTATAAAATATTAATCATGTTTTATCATCTAATAATAATAAAAATACAAATTATAACGGACAGTCAAAATTGAATACGGAAACCCAGTGTTCACATGCTAGCGCGGTTGTGCAGGAGGGGCAAAGCTAGCTGCCGCCGGCGATCCGGCGGAGGGCCGCCGCCGGTGGGAAACACGCGGGCGGCGCCACAGCCGTGTCAAGGGCGAGAAGGTTCCCTCCCTCGCGCGCCTGCGTCTCGAGCCCCCTGTTCCCCCATGGGAGGTGAGCGTTTCTGATTGTTTTCCTAATGCGAGCGTTTTTATATTATCAACATCGAAGTGCCCATGACGAGATTTAGCAAAGTGATGGAAGTTTCTCGGCAAATTTTGGTCAGCAACTTCATTTCCACAAGCTTCCTGGATTTCATTGCTGTGCATTACACTGCTAGATTACGTCTGATACCTGAGCAATGTAGATTATCAGTTGACATTGGGTAATTGGTTTGCGTTGCACAGACATTCAGGAACGAACTTGCAAATGGGAGATGTTACTGGTCATATTCTAGGGACTTGAGAAGATGAATTAGCTACGATTGTGCTACTAGCTACTGCTCGATGTTCCTGGGATGAGAAATCTGGACTTGGTTGGAACCCTGAAGCTGGGCTCAGTTCTATGGATATTTCTTCCTCCTGTTGGCATGTGTATTCAGAGTCATCTGGTACTGTCAATTGCAGGTTCTGGACCTGGCTGGAATCTATTACCCTTTCTTCATTTTGTTCGTTTATGTGCTCTGGTCCATATCTGCTCCGAGTCTGGTCACGGCTTATGCTGTTTCTTATCCTGTGCTTATTCTTGTATAGAAACATCAGCAGGGCGATCAAAAGGGCTGAGGTTGAAGCAACTCCTGTGACTAGAAAAAGTCCCGAGAAGCTGTTGAAGTTTAGACTGCTCGAGCCAATGACGGTGCCATCATTCTGACAGGCATGTTGGTCCCCAATCCATTTCTTTTCTATATGAATTATAGAATCTCCCTCTAGTATGCTGAGGATTTCCCTTGAGAAGTCATAAACTAGTGGGGATCGTTTAGGAAATGCCTACACAAGAAGTAGAACTAATTCAGCTATGTGCAAACTGATAAGTATTGAAGCGATTCCTCAGCAGAAAAAAAAAAAAGGTAAGGCACAGTCTAACTATGGTTAGTTTTTTTTTAAAAGGTGAACATTCTAAAATTCTCCATAATATATGAGAAACATGTTTATGGTAAAATAGATTGCTTTGGTACACACTTGCAGTTAGTTTTTGTAATGACATACCTGTGGACTGTGGTTTTGAGTTTTTCTCAATGGGCTAAGTAAGCATATAGGTAGGGGCAATATCAATTCAGAAAAATCGATTTGATTAAAAACTGGAAAATCCAGATCAGCTTTATAGATTATCACTTTCTGAAATGATCACTTTCTGAAATGGTGGAAGTATGTACTGGGGTTATCTACCATGTAAAGTAACTGTTTTAAATTCGACTGGCATTACAAGCAACAGAAAAAACCATTGATGATAGCCTTTCTATCTTCCTTTCTTTTTAAGAAAATAAGTAGTATCTCTTTAGGAATGGAGGTAGTAGTTTTTGTTGTCCTTGTATTGATCAAATCACCATATGAAATTTGTATCGGTGGTACATCAATCCACTGCCTATACTTTTTAAGTCATTCTGTTCTTTTCTAGAACCAAAACTAAGACTTTGAATACATAAGCTCTTCAATTTCTAGAAGTTATAACCTCGAAGCCAAATTCAGTTTGCAACATGAAGAAATGTGAGCTAACCACCAGTTACAACATGTCATAGGTACACACTACTTGCAACATTGTTCAATATTGAATGCTACTTACTCACTATAGACATCTCACAGAATAAATTACTGTTAAGTTACAGTATGAATTTTAGTAGATAAACTGCTTGTTGCAGTAAATGGTTATGGAGGATGATGGGTTTCATAACAGACATAGCTATGTTTAGAGTCCACAGGTTTGTTATCATCTTGTATTTGTTATGTATGCCTCCATTTCCAAATGTTCCATATGTGCTGATAAATATAAGCAGCTCACACTCACAAGTATGTATTTACTACTAGCAATTTAACTTACAAAGCCAAAACCTTCAGATTTGTAAATTGGCCCAACCATCGTGTACCCTTTGCAGTGCTTTGCAAGAAATATTTTGATGTATGGAACTTCATGTACGACAGCAGCAATACCACCATTTTGGCTCCCTTTGGTGAGTGCATCGGCAAAGTCATCTGAATTGTCATATGCCCTAATTTTTGTTCTGTCAAAACCAAGTCCTTTTAATAGATCACCCACATAAGAACCATTATGATACCCTACATATTCTCCATTTTTAAGGAGTTCATGAACATCAGTTACTGTGGGTTGAAGCTGTTGCACAGTTAGCATTGATGATAGATTGGCCGTATAGCTTGATGTAATCACAAGAAGCACAAAGACCCATACAATGACAACCAATCTAGACAGAATACTGTCCACCCTTTCCCCTGCAAAATGGAGAACCATTATATTTTAGAACATGAAATAAACATTGATGCTGAATTTACTGTTACCACTGCAGTATCCTTTGTTTGTTATTAACTGGAATTGCTGAATAAATTGCTTATTTGTCAGCTTTCTCTCTCTATTTTTTTTAGTGTATAGTTTGGATTTGTCTTGCCTTTAACCAAAGTACAATCAGTCACCAAGAAATTCCTAAGACATTGAATGTGACGTAGACATTATCTCGTATGTAAATACTACATCCATTCTATTTTACTTGAGGATTTTGAATTGTTGAAGATGCAACTTTTGAGCATCATATTTTAACATTTTAAATTAAGGTATAATAATAAAATTATAATATCATGAAAATATTTTTAATGATAAATCCAATGATATAATTTCGAGAAAACAAATCTAAATGGTTAAACTGGTCATAAGATTAAGAAAACCTAATATCATCACTTACTATCTGCAAAGAATGAGAAATATATTGCGATCCCAAGCTGGCGAAAAAATGAACCAGTCAGTTCAGCATTATTGATTCGTCGCTCCAACAGCCATATTACAATTGCTGTGTAGATGAAGAAAGCAATGCTTCCAAACCACAAGTCAGTAGTTAATGGCTTCAAGAAAACCCATGTATTTTTATCCCTGTCGTCCTTGACTGGCACTATCATTGCCACTCCAGATTCTGTATAAGGTAGTGTGAAGTCAACATATGAAGTTCTATTATACCTGATGGTTATATCCCCAATTGCCGTATCATATACCTGTAAGGTTTTTTATTCTCTTGTTTCAGTTACTCATGACTTTCTGGTGACTAGTGGAAAACAACAGGAAAAATGATACAAATATGGTGGAAAATGTAAAAGAAGATAAAATATATCCAAACTGAACTACGTGAAAGATCACCGAATTGTTCCAATAGGAGTAGACTAATATAATTTGGTGAAAAATAAATTTCTTGGAATAATTAAATTAGCTTTAATAAAATTTTCAAGTAGGCATACCAATTTGTATAGGATTTTTTTGACAAAGTGAGAATCAGAATGTCTTACCCCAAGATGAACTTGGTACACAAAATCATTATAGCTCCCAGAATTTACTCCTTGTCCATTATCAAATGCTACATATTCATAAGGTATTGCATAAGGAAGCCTCCTTAATACCTCTTCAAATACGTCGATTGCATACCCAGAGGCAGTTACTTCATTGGTGACAGGATTCTTTTCCACCTTCATAAGCTCAGGATATCCACTTGTCCGTACACCTACACGGAGCTTCTTTCCATTAGTGGGAATTTGCCATCCTTTAGGCACTGTATATACTTCTCCTGGCCACATCACTGGATCAAGATCAGGCACAAAGTTTATGTTTGTTGTTTTATTTTCGTTCAGTTGTCGGAAGATTCCCTGTTTTGCTGTCCAAAAGCCTATTTCTTTTGACCTGCTTCCAACCACATTAATTATCTGGAATGTGGAAAACTCCCGCTGCCTGTTTCTAAGGTCAAATTCACCACTTAGACCTCTGAACTTACTATGTAAGATCGAATCTAGGAGTTTCGGACCAATTGTAGAAATTCCCAGAGTTCCCAAACTTGTTGTGTTCTTTGTATCTTTCTGTTTCTGAAATATGGCATCAGCCATGTTTACCTTTTCTGCTGCTTGTGCTAAGGCCCAAGTAGTATCATAACCCCAAAGCCCGAAAATGCTTAGTTGTGATGGTGGATCATTTGGGTAGTCTTGTTTGAACCTCTTATTCCATCTTGCAGTGAAGTCGTGAAGTTCCTTTGATGCGGGCAGATAGAACCTGACACCAATTGCACCATTAATTTCCTCAAGAATTGAAGGGCTTAGGGAATTAACAATATTCGAAATACCATCTGTCAAAATCCATGCATAACCTTTGCTCATCATTCCTAATTCCTTGGCCTTTGTGAAGAGAATGGAGGCAATGTTCACTGACATATGAACAACGTAAATCCTAGTCTGCATTGTCATTAGCTTGTAGAGTTCTTGCTCAACTTGGTCAGTGTTTGCTGATTTAGATATCGCACTGCGATAAGGCATATAAGCTCCGAATTCTTGGAGGGCATCAGCAAGATATGGTATGATGCCCCTACCATAGTCTGTATCCTCGTAGATGGGTACCACTTCCCTCCAGCCATATGCCTTGATAAGAGCAGCAATTGTATTCACTTGAGCAACATCACTTAATGTTCCACGCAAAAAATATGGCACATCGATAGATGATAGAGTGGGGTTTGTTGCAGTGAAGGAGATAACTGGGACTTGGCTCTTGTTCCCAAGATCAGACACAAAAGTAGCCTCTGAAGATTTTTGTGGGCCAACTATAGCCTTCACGTTGTAATTTTCCAGCAGATCAATTGCTTTGCAATGGAATAGGAAAGCAATTAATTTAATGGACATTTGTACTGTGGTTTTCTCTAAGAATATTATTGCAGGTATAGGAGTGTTATGCAGCTAGAACTAGCTGTTCTATAACTTAGAATATGATGGGTTGACTGTCTAATCACTTAATACGGAACTATGATAGTGGTTTATTCAGACACTGAGCACAGGGGAGCAAAACAGGGAGCTTGCTCTAACTTATCTTAGTTATATTTGGTATGGAGCTTTCCTCTTTTTTTTTCCTGCTCCAAAATTGAAGAAGTTGCTAATAAGAGAGAACAGAACAGAGGGATTTATTTGCAAAGTCAGTGGTATAAACGTAAATTCAGTAACTCAAGTTGGGAGGTCCTCACTTTTAACTCAATACAGATCCATGGAGTTGTCATAGGAAATTTAATTTAGCTTAAAATTTGTTGGATTTAGCTTAACGTTGTAAATGCACATAATATTTTGAAGATTTGCAGCAGCAGTAGAAAAGAGAAATGTGAAAATAAAAGCTATATAAATGAAAAGAAATGGAGTTTCAGTGTTTTTTTTAATCTTTTTTTCCTCTATAACTTTTTAATCTAAAGAAATTAAAGTTTTAAAATTTCTGAAGTTCCCTTCTTTATATGATCTTGCCTCATTATGATGCCGTGATCCGAAATTTGACAATATCAGTTGATAAACTCTAAAACGTACCTTCTGATGCAGCCTGGATATCGTCTCCATTGGAATCCCTAATGTGGAGAACTAACTTTGTCTTGAAGCTCCTGTGGACTGCATAGAAATCCTCCACAGCCATCATAATGCTGGTATGTGCCATTTTGCCCACCAACGATTTCAGATGGAGAATCACTCCAACATTCAGTGTACCTGTTCCACTTTCAGTTGTATATTGAGCGACAGTCAGACTGAGGAGCAAGAAGAAGATTGCAGCCCTCTCAGGTGCTCTCTCCATCCCTATCCTGTGGTCTGCTCTGCTGGTTACTGAATGTATGGTGCCATGCAGTCTTATAGCACTGATTTTTCATTTCTTTGACTTGGTCAGATTGCATTATAGGCTCTGTTGTCTCTGAATTAAAATTATAAGCTTCCTTCTTGCTGTTCATAGGATTGAAAGGAACTGGCAAGATTATATAAACAATAGTAAGGTGATCGGCAACGCCTAGAAGAGTGCATGGGCTTTGCAAATGAAATCTTACCATCTCTGTTTCCCTATACTTGTCACCAGAAATTACTATTCTTCAAACTTTGATTACTCACCTTTTAGTAATAAATTTGTTTATAAATATTTAAAAACACAACGTATTATACCAGGAGAGTCAAAATTCAGAACCTCAGGCATTAAATACGTTGTCACAACACACCATTTCGTAAGGCCCAAAGACCACTTGAGGAAGGTGTGTATGTCCAGCTCATTTTTCCTACGTTTGCAAGCTAGAATTTCCTTGTATTTTCCAGACATACCTGAACAGGGAGCTATTAGGAAAAATCATTTATATTTATAAACAGAATGATAGCTTCTTTTAAAATGGTATGGGATATTCCTTGAAGAGTGCATATGGTAGGTCTAAAAATATTCTCCTGGTATCGTAATTTATGGGTACATCACTGATTATACTGTTTGTAATGGCAAGTCAACTCAATGGGATTTTCTCTGATCACAAGAGTCCAGAATTGGCAGATGTGGTTGACATTCAACAATCAGATTTGGTTGACATTCAATTGAGCTTCTGTTCGTTGAAGCTTCAAGGACCATCCAATCCAATCCAATCAATTTGGTCCATAAAAAAAATTAAAAACTTATTGAGATGTTGATTGACGAATTAAGATGAACAATATTGTAAGGTGCAGGACGTACACTACCAAGAATAAGTGGTAAGCACTGGAGGAGCAACACATACAAAACCTTTGTCTGACCTGGATTTTGCTTGGTTCAAAGGTTAGTACTGGAGTAGCAACACTTACAATATCTTTGTCTGACCTAGATTTTGATTGGTTCAAAGGTTGCTCTCCTTTATACACCAAGATTCAAGAGGTTACAACCCACACTAAGGAAGGTTAGGCCAGGGTATAAGGGTTGACTCAAGGGAATTGTTGACAAGCTGTTGTTATAACATTCTAAGGGAACATTCTATAACTGCATGATTGGGTAGATTATGGACAGAGGAAAATTTCTCCTATGGATTAACTGAATGTTATAAAGCTATCAAATAGCTTAGAGAGTTATCTCAACATTGCTGATGTGGGAAGTTTTTAGTAAAATCGTAATCTTTGGTGGTGTGTGATGAACAACCTATTATAGCTGTTAAGAACGCGCCCTCAATTTTGAACTAAAAGATCATGTCTGTCCTTTTCTTTTGGGAAGTTTCAAGGAAACTTCAAGCATTTTCTTTTCCTCCCCTGAATTTTTTTAATACACTGAAAAAAGAGTTAAAGAATAACACTAGATGAGAGAAGCATATCCTGATCAAATGTCGTCCATTTCGACTTTGCAGGTAATGGACTGATCGCTAACGATCGTCTGCTGCAGTGGCACTGCCTTCTTCACTCCGATTCCTTGCTTCGCCTCCGTCAGGTATGCTTCTCCTGGCACTGGCAGCTGCAGGCGATCTAAATGGCTATTCTTCCCAATTAATGGGTCAGGCAATGCTAGTTCTCACAGGGGGGTTGTCACCTGTCGAAGGAAATGTCCGGTAGCATTAGCAACTAGTATAGCTTCCCGAGCTTACAGCTTTGCTGCTTACCGGGCCTTGTTCTCGTCCTCGTCCTCGCCGGAGCTTTGCTCTTGATGTAATTAACTGAGTCTAAATAAAGCTTCTATTATCTTAAAAAAAAAAAGAATGCCTATACATGAGCAGTGCAACAACCAGGGTTTACAATCCCTCTAGGAGAACCAGACCTCTCGGACCAGCTCTGCTCAACTTTACAGTTTTTCAGTCAAGTTAAAAAAAAATTAAACTGGTTTTTTTTTTTACAAAAATTGATTGGATTTTACTAGGAGTCCCCTGGGATTTGACAAAAAAACTGAAAAAAACCGCTGAGCCCCGGGTTTTGGCTCGGTGTCAGTTTGGTAAAAAAAAATTGAAAAAGATTTTAGCATGTAGTTTGCACAGTAGGCCTAAATTAATATTGGATACCTGATATAAGTTGACGGAACCAAAGCCCAAAGGCCCATTCTCCCTCACCGGTGTAGGAAAAAGTCCAATTCAGGTCCTTCAATTAGGGTTGAGTTTTTTTTTTCCGAGGAAAATAGGGGTTGAGTTTTAAGCGCATCCCCAACCACAAAACCAAATATAAAGCACCATAAACATCTGAAACCAATACAAATTGAGTCACACGACGGTTTTGGTTGATGTGGTGTGTTGTCCCCGTCGTCGTCCTATGTGGCGCCTATTTTGGGTTTCCTGGAGTCAGCTTTCTCATGAGAAATGAACTATCCTCACACTTCAGTTTTAACTTGTTTTTTCTTTCTTTCTTGTGACCGAGTCATAAGCTTGTAATGAACTTTAACATATAACTAGAAAGAATCACGCGCTACGCTGCGTGTGATTATAAATAATTTGGTGCGACCAATCAGACATAATAATAACAGCATAACTTTCTACGAAATAGCTACAATTCTCAGCATTAAGTGGAAAATGATATACATGTATATATAGGTAAGATCCAAATATATTTTGATTCGTTTGATCGGATGACTATGTGTAAAATCGTGTGCTAAGCAAAAGCAGCTCTCATACCAAGAGACATAGCCCTACACACTATGGAGTATATTAGATAACTTTACATGTTTGTCACAACGATCATTGAAAAAGTAAAAATAAATAAACTACCATGGAACACTAAAAAGGACATCATTTTTTGTCCACATAGCTTTCCCTTCCTGAATTATCGACACTATATGGCACCTGCATTGTAAGGATGTTTCAGAGTTAATGAAAACAGAGCAAAGTATACAAATCCAGAGTTAGTCAGATGAAAACAGAGCAAGTATACAAATCCAATTCATTACGTCCTTTAGAGAAGAGTTGAGACCTACTGACTAAATATTACTTGAATGCATTTTGTGCTCACATAGTATATACCAAATTGAATGAAATAAAAAGCATGTACATACATAGAGCATGCAACAATTAAAAAAGTACAAATTGGATCGCAACTACATCAATACGTACATAGGTAGAAGAAATTTTGAAGGGATTGATTCACACTCGTTGGAAAGAAAGGATAGCTGCACAAATCAAGAGTACAGTGTGCATCCAATTACCTGTCACCCGTTTAAGATTTATCATAGCCGTACAGTGTGCACGCATCAAACAGAAGAAATGGTTCCTCTAAAAAAGTGCTATACTGCTACGTGTTGCTCCTTGTGAGTTGTAAGGTGACTAATGAGAAAAAGGTTGGTCCAACTAAACTGTGACCCACAAACCATTTCTTTCTATAGCAAATCGATTCTACACGAATGCAGCTGTACAATCTTTCAACCTCAAATATGCTCTCTACAATGTGAATATTAAGTTTTGCACTTTCTGATTCAATAATGAAAGCCATGCTTTGTGGGTCACTCTTGTTCTTTCACTTTTTGCTTATAAGAAAATAGAAAATGGTCCTGCAAGTCTGCAAAAATACACATACAAAGAAAATAATGACATAAGGTAAATGATTACTAAAAATAACTGCAGGTCAAAATCTGGAACTGTAATAGGAGTTTCAGAGGATTACACAAGCTCATCCACTCAAATTTGCACAATTGTGTACAACGAAGTCCTGTCGTCAGGAGCACCTGAGCAATGCACTTAAACCAAAAGGTTACAGCGTCCATAGAGCACGTGCATGAGGTAAAGAATCAGTCAAGCATGGCAGTCAGTCAAAATTTGACAATGTAATTGCGGATTTGAGGCTCCAGAAAATTACGTGAGCCCATCCACCAGGATATGTACAACTACAACAACAAACTCCTTCAGTATGGAGCAGAAATTCTCATCAACCAAAAGCTAGATATTAGTTTGTGTAGAACCTATCAAGATCCAAAATACCTTGCATGTGATTTTCTTGACTGAACAGGTACTCAGGTAGTATTAGATACTTCCATTCACATAAGTTCAAAAGAGTTGAATCCTCCAAAGTCTAAACAATGCTGCACCTAACAAAAGGTCATTTGTATGACAGTTACTATCTTAAGATCACTAACTCAGCGCAAGTTTTCTTTAACGATTGGATGAGCACATTACTGGTATCAGTTCACCGCAGTTACATAGAAAAACTAACTTGCCATCAGCAGCATGTTTAAAAAAAATGATCTCATGCCTTTAAGGAAACATTGAGAAAGCCTAGTAAAACGAAAGCTATGGTACTAAATGTGTAAACCTCCATGAAACTATAAAAATATCCTGCCATATTATATTATCTTAGAACAATTTTGATAAACTCCTCTATAAAATGTAAGTAAATAATTGGTATTACAGCTGGATACATGGTATATTTAGACAATAGGTAATTCTGAAGACAAAGTGCAACATTGAAGTTTCTATAGATTAAATATCTGGCGTATATGTTATTCTTGTGCTCCATACAATGGGAAGATCGCAGAGAGTCCATGGCAAAGGGTCATATCAGTACTGCAACAGTCATGCGCAATGAAGAAGCATATATAGACTTTTCATATGATTTAAGGAGAAAATCTAAAGCACAATTTACCTATATACTGATATGCTCCACAAAGAACCATTTGTGAGCAGACCTAGCACAGCTTCATACTTCTATTTTTGGATATGAAAATTAGGAGACCCATAATTAGAATGTCGCACAGGGTATACTTCCTGACAGGTTGAGATGGAGCATGAACATATGTTAGACATCACAATGAAATAAGCACAAAGCATATCGTTGAGACAAAATGGGAAATTACTCTGGATTCGCCAATTTGACTGCAATGCAAGTACTGACAGTTGCTCCAGGAGAGATGCCATGTTAGTTCAAATGCCCATCAGTAGTGGGTTGCCTCTCCCAGTGAACCAAAAAAAGAAGTGAAGAAGAAAAAAAGAGCAGGACCAACCAAGCTGTTGCAGTCGTCGTCACTGTACCTAGCCATAGTCGACGCTGCCCTGCCGTCGTCGTGGCTTTGGGGTCTGAGCCGCGCCACTCTGGCTCTAGCTTCTCCTTCCCAGCCTCCTAGCCATCGGTCAGCCCCCACACCCTAGCGTTCATGTGTCCTCCTCATAGGAGACCAAATAGCCCCTTGGATCTGCCACCGAGCGGCGCGGAGAGCGGGAGGAAGAGGGTCGAGAGGAGCAGTGGAGGACCGGAGAGGAAGAGGAGAAGAGAGCAGGGGTGGCAGCCTTCACTTCTGGTCGAGATCATCAATTCCGACGGCCATCGAGACAAACCTGCAACAACCAAGCGGCGCGGATAGGTCGATCGAGAGAGATGTGATGGCGGAGCAGAGATGAAAGAGGGGAAGAGGGTCGCTATGGCTTGCGTCCCTTTCCTCCAGGCTGCTAGATCCACCAGCGAGGTCGGGGTCTTCGGATCTGGCAGCCCCGGGCTCCTCGCTGATCCACCGGCAAGGAGGACGGCGTCGGCACTGCGATGATAAGAGGAGGAGGGTGAGGCGGCAATGGCGCAAAGCGAGGGGAGGAGTAGCCGAGGATGGAGAGCATGAAGGAGAGGGCACCGAGCGACGGCGGCGGCGGCGACGACGGCGATGACGGCGTATGCGAGGGGAGGAGAAGGGCGAGGGAGCGGGCTGCGGGCCGGCGCGCGTGAGGGAGGAGCAGGCGAGGCGGCGCACCTGCGAGGCTGCGAGGGAAGCGGACAATGAGGCTAGGGTTTGGCGCAGGCTGGTGCAATCTCTGCCGTCCGTTTGCGATCCGACGATACCACGGGTGTGGAAGCGCCGGCACAGTAGGACAGATGTACGACTCAGATCGATCGTAGCGCAAGATCGGACGGTGGGAATCTAGGACCGGCACATAATTAACTGGAAGTTCGGGGACCTTTGTGCAAAAATACGCTGACGTGGAGCTCAAGCATTCCCACGGTGTTTAAGTAAACTAATATTCCTTCTTGTCAGGTTTCATAATGTATAATATATATATATATATATACTAATCAGAAGCTACCATCTCAGCCTATGACCCTACTACTTTTTATTGTGATGCCATTAATTAATTATGTGCTAATTACAGATAGCTGCTATACGTAGGATTATTTGCGTACGATGCTCGTACAACGTAACGTTTTTCAGCCAAAGCCCATGGCTTTTTCCGGCCGTTTTCTAACGTAGCAACACATGAAGTTCACCATTTGTTAGCAATTAATCATACAATGGTCGTATATAGAAATTGTATGCATAGCATTATTTTTGCTAATTATAAAGCTCCTTCGAACAGGCCCTCAGCTGAATTTAAATGAAGAGGCGCTGACTTGACAGCTGGTGGGTGCATATTAAAGGAACACATATAACCCAAGTTTGTCCTTTTCATATGGAACGTGATTACATCAGCAGCCTCTGCGGCATATATTGAGTTTGAGGCTACAACCAGTAAAAGCTCGTTGCAGGATATATATAGATGAATATTTATCAAAGACAAAAAAAAAAGTCGCGTAAATTTCTTATGTGCCACTTGGATTTTATGTCATTCCTTTTATGCCAGACCTATTTTAATTATAGGTAGTTTGCTCAAACGTCAAAGAATGTGGGGGATGTTTTGGTGGCATTGTGGAATCTTGAATGTATAACTCTATCCACCAAAGTTTAAATCCAGGTTTCAACAAATATTATATGTACACGAGATGTGTTTTCAATAAAAAAATAATTGGGTCAATCTTTTTAACTGTTTTTAACCGTGTAATATAGAAACATATAGAGGCTCCTTCGAAATGCAGGTTAATTAAAATATAGAAATAGGAAAATACAGGAGAACACTTTAAATCCTATGGATTTTAAAAAAATATAGGAAAATTGCAGAAATGACCGTCTAGGTGGAGCGTAGAAAAACACGGGAGTCAGAAAAGAGATAGACACAAAATGAATTTTTTTTCTCAAGAGAATGGACCTAATGTCAAACTTATGTTTTGAGCCAATACAAAGGAATTTCAAAGGATTTTGGAGCGCTATTCCTTTAATCAAAAGGGCCACATAAGCAAATTTTCCATAGGATTGAGTTCTTCTAAAATTTCATCAAAAATCCCTTATTCTAAAGAAGTGGTTGTCTAGATTAGCTCGAGGATAGCCAGATCCGACCACCTAGAGCTCGGGGGCAACTGGATTTAGCCACCACAAGCTTAGGGTTGACTAGATCTGACAGGTGCGGCCCACTCAATAGCGGCATCACTCTCCCTCCACCTATGGTGAGCAATGCTGGTGGGCGGCGGACTTCACCTACATTGAGCAGCGATGGACTTTACCTAAGGTGAGCAACGGTGGCGGAATTCTTCATTTTCAACACTAAGTTGAATGAATTCTTTGATGTGCTAAGTTACGTTGAATGTTGTTGATTCCATGATCCGGGATTGAATGTAATTGATTTTGTTACTCTCTTTCTATAGGACTTTTTGATTTATTTTTGGCGGATTAATTTGAAGCACCGAGTGAGCTCTTTTTTCTTTTCGAAGTCATGCAACTTATATATTATCATGTCAGTGTTGGTTCTTAATCCAGCACTGAGAGGCTGAGAGCCTCCTCTCATCAGTGCTCGTTTTACAGTGTTGGCAATGAGTTCGGCACCTGTGTGGAGTGCCCAACCAGCACCAATATAGTGTTCTTCTCTAGTGGTGGATAATCTTCACAATGTAATTTAAGCGTACGGAGACAATCCAGTAACCTGATCCTGCGGGATAGTGTAACAGTAACACCCGGCCGTTAGGTGCTGAATTTAATCACTCTTAGCACAGTAATTTCCACTCACCAACCAAAGCTCTTCTCTCTCGAACACACACACCCAACCAAACACAGGTCCGTAGACACACTACAGTTCTAGCTAGTACTATAATGGAGGGGAACAGGGAGGAGGCCGAAATCAAGGAGCTCACCCTCCGCTTCACCAGCTCGGCCTCGCCGCCGGATCAGCCGGCCATCCTCCGCTTCTTCCTCTGCATGTACTGCGACCGCACGTTCTGCAGCTCGCAGCAGGCGCTCGGCGGCCACCAGAACGCGCACAAGTTCGAGCGCAGCCTCGCCAAGCGCCGGCGCGGGAGGCGATCGCCGCCGAGATGCGCGCGCTCCCGGGGGCGGTGGAGGGCGACGCCGCGGCCGGTTACTCCACTCCATCAGCTAAGAGGCTAGTTGGAGTGGAAAGCAGCAGCAAGAGCTCGCCGGAGTACGGCGGCGAGCACGGCGACGGGCTGGACCTGTCTCTCAGGCTGTAATAATCATCCTCGGCTTTCACTAATCTGTTGTTTCTGTATGTCTGTGTGTCTATAGAGATCAAGAACATGTTCTTGCACATGTTGTTTGTGTACGTTAGTTTGTTGATCTACTAGATTATTCTTATTATCGACAGGTATGTGTCTCCATCTTCTAGTTCAGTTTGCCTGATGATGGAGTTCTTAATTTCTCAGAAGAAGTTTGCCAATGGATCGATTTTGGTGTGTACTGGTCTGTGTGTTGTTCTGTGTTTGGTCTCAAAGTACTCTCAACTAGACAACTTTATTATGGCAGATCTGTTAAAGGGTATTTCTCGCCCGGCCGGCGAGTACTTCAAGTGTTTTTCATTGACAGGTTTTCGCCAAGTGATGTTTAGATTGTGCATATTCCATGTGAGAATCTTAAGTCCCAATATACGCCTGCCATTATCCCAATCCTATTTCCCAAAACCACTCTAGTAATACCCCCCTTCCAAATTTCAGTGTGTTTCATTGTTAATCTTCATTTCTAGATGCGCTTGCTAGGGCAGAGGCAGGGGTAGTACCATCGCTCGTTTCATCTAAAATATTCAACGACCCTTGCTCTCCATGCTTGGTCCAATATATGTAACTGTTATAATGAATCCTCGACATATCAGATATGTGTTTATTCGTGCACTACTGGCTCACATCTTTCCATTGTTACAATCATCGTATGGAGAAGTCATGTATTGATTATTCCTTCTGTTCTTCTCTTGCTCTGCAACATTTATGAAATTGGCAACACCCCTTCTATACACTCGTTCACTTCTATACATCCAACATCTATCTACCTGCAAATTCTATGGCTATATATTATACGAAATTTGTAGTTGTAATTTATTTATTATCACCTATAATATATTAAAGGCGGCGTCCGTGGTGGGCAGGGTGGCTGGATCTGGCGTCGGCGGCGGGCGGGGTGGCCAGATCTGGCGTCAGCAGGGGCGACGGGCTCACCGGGGGTAGGTGACGGCAGGCGGCGGGCTCGAGGAGGGGAGGCGGTGATCTGCCGTAGGGAGGAGCCCTCCCCTTCGCTAGATCTGGCAGGAGGGGAGGCGGCGGCAGGGGCGGCGGGCTCACCGAGAGTTGGTGGCAACAGGAGGCGGGCCCGCGGAGGAGACGCGGCGGCGGGCTCGCCGACGGGAGACGTCGCGGCAGGAGGTGGCGTGACGGCTCAAAGACGACCGACCATGCGACGACAACAATGGCGGATCTGAAGAGGTGTGATTCTTTTTTTTACTGCATAAATTTGAGTGCCAAAATTTGTGTTGTGGGATATGAATGTTGGATGAATGGATAGTGATATGTGGATGAATCCATCTATGGATGGATATGAGTGGATGGATGATGATATTCTTGTTTGTTTTGTTCATTCTTGTTCTAGCTGTGGTGTGGATGGATGCGGATGTGGGAGGAGGGACTGCTCAGCTCGATGCATTGTCTCGATCGAGCCGACTCTCGAGCCGCTTTTTTTTTATTCGTCGAACCTAAAAGGTGCCAGTTCTAAGGAACCGGCACCTATTTGATTTTCAAATCAGTGCCGCCTCCCTGGTGCCGGTTAGGAAAACCGGCACCTAAGGAGGTCTCCCAACTGGCACCTATTTGTGTTTCTGTAGTAGTGCAAACCCCATCAAAGATCAACCCTCATCAGTGACGGCTTCACCATCATCTTTGTTGGGACATTACCCTCATCGGTGACAGAGTTTTGTTAACGCCTGTCCCGCCACCGATTACCTCTGACGGGCTGCAACCAAACCCGTCACCGATGAGAGTCATCGGTGACGGGCATGGCCCTGAGGACTCAGATATTGCCTCTCTCGGTGCCTCTGTGATAGGGCTTTTTGTGGCTCGACAAAGATGAGTACCTTTATAATGGGTCTCACGCCCCTTCGCCACAGATGGGCCGATTTGGATGCCCGGTTCTATACTAGTGGAAGCCTTGTGTTTGACACATAGGCACGCTCGTATTTTTTGTTAATTAATTGAGACCAAGTTTCTCGAGAAAGAATCTTCATTTCAAAGCATGGAATATATATAAATATAGTACCCCATTTCGTTCTTCTACCCTTCTAGCTAACTAAATATTATTCATAATACCAATTAGGAAAAAAAATTCAAATTACCTCCCTACCTATTGTGATAGTCCGATGCTTGAACTACAAAACTACACATTTGACACCCTAACTCTTTAAACCAGACGAACAACTCCCCTCCTCCCCCCTCTACCCCCACTCCCCCTCCTAAGCATTGTTTTGGGCTAACTGATGTGGCATTCTACAGTGGAGAAAAAGAATATTCGGCCCACTTGTCCGTGCCCTTTACACATTCACACTAGAGGCAGATCGTGTCATGTGGACTCCCTCAATGCTCGTCGCTCGGTCTGGCTGCTCCTCCACCACCTTACCCTCCACCACTCCGTTGCCACAACACTATGGAATCTCACC